GTGTGAATAGCGTTCATACATTCAATGATTTATATGTTTTGGATCTGATCTTAAGCTACCTATGTCTATGGTGCATTGTTTTAACAAATAATGTCAAATAATTATTTGACTTTCTTAAGAAGACAAATTTAATTTACCCTAGTGGTTCAATTTCTATTACTTGATAATTAGTGTAACTCAGGATTATAAAACAAGGTCCTACAATACAAAGCATTGATATAAATAGGAGAATCTGGCATTGATAATATGATTCTTAATGTTGGTAGAACCAGAGACATCAGACATGGTTTAGGACCATGGTAGGGGCTGACCATAGATAAGCACATCCCTTTGCTTAAAGATGTTTCAACGTGATATTATTTCTAAAATAAAGTTGATATATTTTTTGTGAATTAAGTAAACCACAATTTTTATTTTTCATTTTATGTGGATTTAGCAAATACCAAAAGAAATCAGAGGAAGAAAAATAAGATTTTTTATTTTTATTTAATACGAATTTTTTTTCTTCCTCATATGTTTTAAGCAATTATTGGTGAAAACTACTGAAGTTCTACTATTCAAATATACCATTATATAAAGAGAAAATTCCACAAAAATACATGAGAGTAAACTTTGATGAAATTTCCAACGAGAAAAAGAGTTTTTTTTTTTGTTTTTTAACTCCCTGATTCAAGGTTGAACCTGTAGTGTGTGGATGCTTACGAAAATTATTTATAAAAACTTTGAAGAATAACCCGAAAACGTAGTTAGTTTATGAAATTCCGAGCTGTTCAAATTTCATTTGGCCCATTCTAATACGGTGGAATGGCCCATTTCGTAACTTGTCGAAGTTTGTGTTTTTTTTTTTTCCGAAGTTTCGTAACTTCACGGGATGGGAATGACTTTCATACATACAGGTGCTGCAATGCTTCATGGAAGTCGTCTCGATATCCAAAACCAACATATTCTGAAAAACAATGAATCGAAACATCTCAAAGCTTATTTTTCATAAAAACCGCCAATTTTCCTTTAAATTCAAATCGAGTACCACAAATCCAAAGCACACGTTCCTCACATCACAAATTTCAAATTCTATTACTCTCGCGAGGAAAAATAAAAGTTTTTTCCAGGTTCAAATAACCACGTATTTTACCTTTATGTAAAAATTAGATTAAAACAAATACCTAACTAGACCAAGTAACTTGTGATGAGTACTCTTTTTGGACTAATCAAATACAAATAACAACTTTAATTACTTGAACGGCCAAACTGGATAGCAAATACCTGAAAATTATGAGAGTATTTTCCCCATGCCCGACCCTAATTTTAATTCATTGTATGTATATGGATTATGTTTTGTTGTTAAGTGGAACACTATAATATATTGCTAGCTTCAAAGTCTTGTGTTCAACAATTTAGAACTTAAGAGTTGGCGGTAGTCAAACCGGTTTAATTTACAAAATGAGGTTCAAAAATGACACCCTTGATTTGATAACTTGGATCGTTGTGGCTCAGCTTTGTCATTTATCTTATATATTTGATTTTGGACCATATCTTTTTTTCTATATATTCCAAATTTTGTTCGGAAATCACACGAGTGTAAAAGGTACCTACATTGTAACATGTCACATGCATAGTTTCTTGTAAATTAAATGCACACGCTTATACGTGCATCTGTTATTCGACATTTATGTAGTTGTATAGCTTTAATGAATATTCATTCTCGGTTGTCAAAAAAAAAAAATGAATATTCATTCTCGAATTAATTTGGTAAACGAGCTGATCTAGATAAATGTTATCTATCATGTAGTAGCCAAGCCAATCGTAGTGCGAAACGTGAATCTAGGACCCCTAAAGAGTTATGCGAAGAAGCATTTTCCGCGTCAATGCATGTGAACCTCAAAATCTATCAAGCACAGAAGAAACGATCGCAACATACAGAGGTGACGTCTTGTAATACGTCTGGTTCACTTTCTGCGGGTATAGTACTAAAGACATCAAATTATATTTATATCTATTTCACAAAACGTCGTGATTCGTGAACCATGTACAATGGCGTGCAGTAAAAACATGTTTAACAGTTCTCTAACCATTTATTACGACCCAGTCTTCTAAATTGTTCCCAAATTAGATCAAAGGGTATACAACCAGGGAAGTACAAAAAGAAATAAATCAAAATCGAGAAATTAGTTTCAATATATTTTTCTAACTATTATTCAACAAAGTACTTATTATCTTCTAACAAAAAGCAAAAAAGAGAGAGAACACGTAAGAGGAATGAGAACCAAGTGTGTGTATTTTACATCAAAGTCGAGAGAGAGAGCAACAGCATGTTCATTGTCTGCCCAACACCCCCAAAAGTGTTCACCGTTGAATTGCGTCACCCATTCCCTCTGACTTTTGCACGCTCTCAAGGTTTAACATACCACACGATTTTGAGAAAGGAAAAAAATAAACTATTCTATCAAAAAATAAATCTTTTAAGTTGCAATGAAAATTTTGATAGGTCTGATTGTGTAATTAATTTTGGAAGAACTTCTGCTCGCTACACGAATTAAAGTGTATGATATGGTTATATATCTGAACTAAAACAATATATATGTTTAGCTACATGAACTAAAAGACATCATGTAGATCTATTTTTGAAGATTTAAAGTTTAGTTCAGAGAATTCAAGTTTATGTTATTTACTAGATTAGGCCTCGCGTATACGCGGGTTTATTTATTTTTTATTTTTAAATTATAGAAGAATATTAAACAAAATTTGATCACTTTCAAAAATAAGTAAAATAATATTAAAAACCCGATAACAAATCTCTAAATAAATTAAGATATGTAATATTTTTACATTTTTATTTTTAATTAATGATAAGAAATAGAAAGACTTACATGTGTCTAAATCTAATCGACTCATTAATTTATGAAACTTTGATTATTCCATTGATGAAATCTTTATTTTTAATATTGTTTTACCTAAAAAAAATAGAAAATTAAACTATTTGATATTAGAAGATCGGTCTATTATAAAATTTATTTTTTACTATTATTTAGTTCCTTGATAATTATTTTGTTAGTTTTCTATTTATATTGTTTCTTTTTCAATTTTTTTTTGCCTCTAACCATTATAAATTTTCATTTTCATTATCATTATTCGTTAGTTGTTTTACAATTATTTTGTTAATTTATTTATTTGTGTTACTCTATTTTTCCAATTTTCTTTTGTTGCTATATGTCATCATCTGATCAAGTTTTAGACACATATAGCGATCTAGAATTAAGTATTCTTCATTGATATCTTGAAATTTTAAAGATATGATTTTTTATTTCTTAATGAGAAAATAAACTTAAAAAAAATATAGTTTGTATATATTGTTTTTTTTTTCCTTTCCGTAATGGGAATATGTTTTTTATTCATTTTCTTATTGGATGTAACATTTTTTTAATTATTTTTAATGTTTTTTCTGAATAGGATTATATTTATTAAATTATTTTAAATTTTAATATGTGTTTGGATAATCTAAATTTTATATTAAGATATGAAAAATACGATTTTTTTCTTATTACTATAATAGATAAAAAAAAAATTCAGTTTTCCTTTTTCTAACAATTTTTTTAGTTATTTTTTTTTTCTTTTTTTTCGCAAGAAACTTTATAAGTTTTTTTTAACAGCATACTTCACACTAAAATCTCAAATTTCGACGATATTTCCTTTGGCGATTTGATCTCCGGAATTTTGAAGTAGTGAATGATGCACAAAAACTTGAATTGTGTTTTCCTGTTTGAAACAAAAATAAAACTTTAATGTTAATTATGGTTATATATATAATATGTTACTAACCTTTTCATCAAGTAGTAGAAGCTCAACTCTCATAAGAATATTATTTTCTTTAGGATTTCTAGCTTCCCACTTTCGAATAACATGTACTATAGTACGGCGATAATTTGGATTTCGGTCCAATTGACCTATAGTAGTACAAAGACATGATTTTTAAATTAGAGAAAGAGAATCAGAGAAATTTGATGAATTTGCTTTGATGAGTTTGTGAATGAGAAAAAAAACTACTGTAACTTTGTATTTATAGGTGTTCTATAACATATTTCATGCAGATATAGGAAATTTAGTTTACGTTCCTATTCCATGTACTAATAGGATTTTATTTATTACATTATTTTCAATCTTATTTTATATAATAAGACATGTGTTTGGATAATATAAATTTGATGAATGGGAAAACCTTTTTCTGTTAGGATATGACAAATATTAATTTTTCTTTTTTAAAAATATAATAGATTAAATTTCGTCTTTTTTAGTTATCCTTTTTCTAGTATTTAAAAAAAAAATCTTTTTTCCCATAATACACATGTCACGATCTTAACGGATATAATCTTCAAAGTGACACATGTCGTGATCCTATATTTTATAAAAATCCTACGTGTCGCAACCACATTGCGCGCATCCAGCTTTATATAATAAGATATTATGAAAAATTATATGAATGGGAAAATAACACCTACGATATGAATTAGATATTTTTCTTGAAGCAAACCGAATCATAAATAGTTGAAAAGAAAAATCAAATCATAACCTTGTGCCATCGTGTGGTAGACAGGTAGAGAAGTTCGCTTACATTTTCCCTTTTTCTTTTCGTTGGATTCTTTACTTCTTTTGACCATAGTAAGAGAAAGAAACGGCTAAGATCTCGCGTACGCAACTGGCGGAGACAAATCAGGACCGTTGAAATCAGAAAGAAACGCGTCTAAAATATATATTGTCCCACCTTTGTCCCCTTGCCTCTCACTTGCCCCCTCATGCTCCCGACAACGTCATAATTCCCCATCTCTCTCTTTAACCCTAATTTCTAAGCAAGTTTCCTTATATATCTCTCTCTCTCTCCCTCTCCGTTTCACAATCCCACAAGCAAACTCCATCGCAATTCAAGGATCTGATCTAACCAAGAAGAAGAAGAAGAAGAAAAGAGATATTCCACGAAACAAGAAGTCACAAGCATCTAGTGAGAGAACATGGCGTATGAGGAAGTCAACAATGAGCTTAACCTTAAAGACACAGAGCTTCGTTTGGGATTGCCTGGAACAGAAGAACAACAAATAGAAGTTTCTTGCGTCCTAAGTAACAAACGGAAGTTTCAAAACAACGACGAGAACAGCCTGAAAGAAGAATCTTCTCCTTCTCCTGCCAAGTAAGTTTGAGATCTGAAATTCCTTTTTTAATCCAAAGATTTGACTTTGATCGGTATACTAATGATGAATCTTGATTTGTAAACTTCAGAACACAAATCGTTGGTTGGCCTCCAGTGAGATCAAACCGGAAGAACAACAACAACAACAAAAACGTGACTTATGTGAAAGTGAGTATGGACGGAGCTCCATATCTTCGTAAGATAGATCTCAAGATGTACAAAGACTATCCTGAGCTTCTCAAGGCACTAGAGAGCATGTTCAAGTTCACAATTGGTGAATACTCTGAGAGAGAAGGATACAAAGGATCTGGATTTGTACCGACTTATGAGGACAAAGATGGAGACTGGATGTTGGTTGGTGATGTTCCATGGGACATGTTCTCTTCATCTTGTCAAAAACTCAGAATCATGAAACGATCCGAAGCTCCTCCTGCTTTATGATCCTGTTTTCATATCAAAGTTTCCTACTTTATTTAGAGATCTTTTAGATATCAAAAAGTTTGATGTAAAGAAAGAAGAGTTATGTACAATAGGATTACACATACGTCATAGATGTAAAACTGGATTGTTGATTCTGTAAGATCATTTTTGATTATACGAGTTTATATTTATGCTCGCAGATTCGAGTTCATACGAAAACTTACTCAAATGTAAAAATTTAATCAAAATATGTATAATTGCTGCTACCATAAACAATAAAGTTTGGGGATAAGGAAAAATATGATATTTCGATTAAGAAATGCGCAAATTTTAATGGATATTGACATCGAAAGTTTTCGACTTTTTCTTTGTTTATTTGGATGGCGAAAATCTTTACTAACCCAATCACTTGCTCCACCAAATTGGGATTTGACTTTAGCTCTTCTCATCGTCATCTTCGTCGCACAAGTTTCACTCTTTCACTCACTCAATCTCCGTAAGCTCTCTCTTCTTCTTATCAATCTCTCTCCCGATCTCTGTCTTTCGCACGAATTTAGTATAGTCGATGGTTATTCTTTGATGGGTATCTTCTGTTTGATAGTTTCCAATCCGAAAGTTCCATACTTTGATCGGTTTTCGTATGCTCTGTTTCTAACGAATTCGAAGCAAATCATATCTGATTATATTAGTTGTTTTGAAAATAATGGATGATGAATCTGATTACTGGACTCGTTTTGCAATCATTATAGATTCGTGGGTTGACTTGTTTTCAGTTGCAAAGCTTGGATTCGAAGATTTGCAGCCATGGATTCTTCTGGAACTAACTCAGCGAAGGAAGTGAATGTTGGCTTAGACGCAACTACTGAGGAAGCTTATGCCACACAGTCAAAGTTACTTAAAGAGTTCATAAGCATTCCCAGCATTGACAAAGCTTGGATTTTTAATTCTGATTCTGGTATTGACTTTTTTAACATAATCCAAAGCTCCAAACTTTGAGACTTTCAATTTATTTAAAGAGTAAAGAGTTAATTGTAAATCATCTGACCAAAAAAAATGAGATTTTGACTTTTCAAAATGTTTGTATTGTAGGTCCTCAAGCAATGGTTGCTATGAGTCAAGCAAACCTTTTGGCCAATAAAAAGAGGAAGTTTATGTTATCAGGTCACATCTCAAAAGAGAGTAACCAATCTGTAAACTTTCACTGGGCGTCATTTCCCATTGAGATGACTGGTGTATCAGCTTTTGTCCCGTCTCCATCTGGTTTGAAGCTCCTTGTGATTCGTAATCCGGAAAACGAATCTCCTACAAAGTTTGAGATATGGCGTTCGTCTCAGCTAGAGAAAGAGTTCCATGTTCCACAGAAAGTTCATGGCTCTGTTTACGTTGATGGATGGTATATAACCTTTTGAGCTGATTTTAACGACTAGTTTCTTGGAGAAGTAGAAAAAAATGAGTGAGGCTTGTGTGTGTGTGTGTGATGCAGGTTTGAAGGAATCTCTTGGAACTCAGATGAGACTCGTGTTGCTTATGTAGCTGAGGAACCATCTCTTCCCAAGCCTACATTTGACCATCTAGGTTGTTACAAGAAAGGAAACTCTTTGGAGAAGGATATTGGTAGCTGGAAAGGTCAAGGAGATTGGGAAGAGGAATGGGGAGAAGCATATGCCGGAAAAAGGCAGCCTGCGCTGTTTGTTATCGATGTTGACAGGTTTCATCAGTCTCTCCACAAGAAAAGACCAGTTACTTGGTCTTTACATTTATCTGATGGTTTGTTTCTGTTGATAGTGGAGAGGTTGAGCCAGTCAAAGGAGTTCCAAGATCGATAAGTGTTGGACAAGTTGTTTGGAGTCCAAACAGTAAAGGCTCAGCTCAGTATTTGGTTTTCGCCGGGTGGTTAGGAGATAAAAGAAAGCTTGGTATTAAGTACTGCTACAACAGACCTTGTGCAGTATATGCGATTAAGTTCACTGACGTTTCATCAGGATCAGATGAAGGAAAGTGAGTTTGTGGCCTCTATAACTCACTTAGAAGACAACTTGATCATTCATCATTTTCAGAGATATATCTTATAGAGTTTGTTTTTACTTGTGTTCCAGAGATGATGCAAACAAAGCATTCCCTATTCATAACTTGACTAAGAGCATAAGCAGCGGTTTTTGCCCTCGGTTCAGGTTTTACATCTAACGAAATTCTTTTCTTTGCCTTTTGAAGTTACTAAAAGCATTGTTACTCTGTTTATAACTGAGCATTCTGACAGATGTTAACATATGATCTGCTACATTTTTCCCTTCTCTCACAGCAAAGATGGCAAGTTTCTTCTGTTTGTATCCGCAAAGACTGCTGTTGATTCCGGGGCGCATTGGGCAACTGAGTCACTTCACAAGATCGACTGGCCAAGTGATGGGAAACTTCCTGAGTCAGCGAATATTGTTGATCTGGTGAGATTACACAGACCTTTTTCTCCCTGTATGTATAGGCTTTAAACTTTCTTTGAGCTGACCACATTTTGTGTCTTAACAAAATATGAATCTTTCTAAACAAAAATATGCCAAATCTCTTATAATGCAGATTAAAGTTGTGAATTGTCCTGACGACGGTTGTTTCCCTGGGCTCTATGTTACTGGCCTTCTGAGTGATCCGTGGCTGTCAGATGGACAAACTCTTATGTTGTCTTCCTACTGGCGTAGTTGTCGAGCAATACTCAGCCTCAATTTGCTAAGGTGAGTGATGATGAATAGATATAAAAGGTTTCAATATTTTCTCCTGCTGCTGCGCTTTAATTGATGAATATATCTTGAGAAAATTTACAGCGGTGAAGTGTCACGTGTCAGCCCTAGTGATTCAGATTATTCGTGGAGCGTTCTTGCGCTAGATGGTGATAATATCGTTGCTGGTAACATCTTTAAGCAAGTTCTTTAATCTCAGCTATTAACTATCACACTGTTGAAACACTCACCAGACTTGAAGCAACACTGCATTTTGTTTCTGCTGAGTAGTGTCTAGCAGTCCAGTGAGTGTTCCAGAAATTAAGTATGGAAAGAAAGTTCTTGATCCAGCTGGGAAGCCTTCATGGCAGTGGTCAGATACCGAAAACCCTGTATTTAAATTCTCTGAGAAGGTAAAAATCATATTGCCAAAATCCTCTTGATTCAAATGATGCTTAGCTTTTTCCTTTATTCATCTTTTTTTGTTTGTATCACGGCAGATCTCGTCAGGGCTTTCATCTCTTCAGTTCAAAATTCTAAAAGTTCCAATCAGCAATGTTTCTGAATGTCTCACCGAAGGTTCTTTAAAACTTATCTTGTTTCTTACGAACAAAAATTGTTGGTTGATAAAAAAATTGACTTATTTCCACATGATCAAACCCATGGCAGGTGCCAAAAAACCTATTGAAGCTATATATGTATCGTCTTCAAAGTCTAAGGAGAATGGGAAATGTGATCCATTAGTTGTTGTTATCCATGGAGGTCCTCACTCGGTTGCACCGTGCAGCTTCTCCAAGGATTTGGCCTATCTCTCCTCAATCGGATACAGTCTGCTGATTGTAAATTACAGGTTCACTTACAAGCATACAAGCTTCAGTTTCCACTAGTTCATTAACCTCCAGGAGATCCTAACTTAGTTTTTGGTGTTGATTCATTTGAATTAAAGAGGTTCTTTGGGATTTGGGGAAGAGGCTTTGCAGTCTCTACCTGGAAAAGTTGGATCACAGGTATTTTATAAACGCTTCTCTAGTGTCAACTCTCTTCCTTCTGATCTTCAGCCTGCTTAATTTATTAGCTTCCCTGACACAGGACGTGAAAGATGTGCTCTCGGCTGTTGATCATGCCATTGAAATGGGACTTGCAGACCCGTCTAGAATAACCTTGCTAGGTGGTTCTCATGGTGGCTTTCTCACCACTCACTTGATAGGCCAGGTACTGTAGTAGTTACTGTACCATTGAATTGGATTAGAAACCATCATCCTTATAAGCGCAGTTTTTTTCTATAGGCGCCGGATAAATTTGTAGCAGCAGCTGCAAGGAATCCTGTATGCAATATGGCATCGATGGTTGGGATTACAGATATACCTGACTGGTGTTTCTTTGAAGCTTATGGTGACAAGAGTCACTATACAGAAGCTCCCTCACCTGAAGATCTTTCTCTGCTTCAGAAAATGTCTCCTATATCACATATCTCAAAGGTCAAGAAAGCCACAGCACTCTGTTTTTCAAGATGTTTTGAAGAACTATTTAATGATGATTCTTTCTTGTGTGCAGGTAAAAACACCCACTTTGTTTCTTTTGGGAACTCAAGATCTCCGTGTTCCTATATCAAACGGATTTCAAGTAAGTTTGTTCCTTTTTTTTTCGCTATTCACTTGAAAGAATCTGCAGACTCAAGACTCGATTGTTTAATAATTGGTTTTTGAATAGTATGTGAGGGCGTTGAAGGAGAAAGGAGTTGAGGTGAAAGTTTTAGTCTTTCCCAATGACAATCATCCCTTAGACAGGTAAAAACAAAATAAAAAAAAGCTGCCATTTTTGTTGTTCTCTGTGAGAAAGTTTTGATTTTTAAAAAATATGTTTTTGTGTGTTGTGATTGTTTGTGCAGACCACAGACGGATTACGAAAGCTTTCTCAACATTGCTGTCTGGTTCAACAAGTACTGCAATCTGTGAGCGAACACGTTTCGGATACTGAATTTGTGTTTCTTATTTAAATTGAAGCGAAAATAAAAGAACATTTTTAAAGGATAATTAATTTGGTTCACTGAGATTCTGAGAATTATCTTCCATTGCTTTGCAAATTGCAACGAAGACGTTTAGGAGATAAGTTTATGGCGTTCGATTTGATCTCTTTCTCGCCGGGATTGGATCTATGGGGGCTGTTCCAGAGGAGGATGAAGTTTTACGGCTAAGGTTTCGACGGAAGGAGTCGTAGAAGAAGGCGAAGACGATTGTTAAAAGTGTAGTTTCGTCTTTGCCTTCTCTTCTCCACCACTTCTTCCGTCGAAACCTTAGCCGTAAACTTCTTCCTCCTCACGAACAGCACCGATAAATCTAATCCCCGCGACAAAGAGATCAGAGCGAACGCTGCTGATGATCGTCCCGCTGCTCGGTTTCACCGACTCGAATAAGAGATTGAAATTCGGAGGTTTCAGTTACAGTTTTTCGATACTCATCCTCGTCTCCGGATTCAGATCGAGCAACTTAACTGGAAATCGCGATGGTGCCGCCGATTCATCCGCCTCCGTGGATTAGACGGGAGATCGAAGCGAATGTGCTGCATCCACACACCACCCAAATTTCCTTAAAGTCACCGCCATTAAATTCCGAGATCTATCTCTTTGCAGAGTTCGCCGGCGGTGGAGAGCTTATCACCAAAATTCAGTGATAAGCAGAATTTAGGGATTTTGAGGACGTTAAGAGCATGTTTAACGCAGAGCGCTTCATAGGGCGCTAAGGTAAAGTTGGGATTTAAATAAATCAAAACAAAAATAAAACAGAAAAGCTGACGCTTACATTGGCGTTACAAGCGTCGACGCCAACGGGTCACGTGGCAGAAGATGATTGGCTGTCATTTTTCTTCTTCATTATTCTGTTTTGTTTCTCTCTCCTCCCTCTCTCTTCGCCGTTGCTCTCCTATGGCGGATTCGCGATTCCACGGTAATTCGAATGATTCATCGATTTCGCACAAAAAATCGGTCCAATTATCATGCCTTCGGTGGTGGGTCTTTCCTAATCTCCGTGAAACGGTGCGAATCGGCGAAGAACACCGGAAGATCAACAGTTCTCAATCAGATTGTTTCTCCTCTATGCATGGTAACTTTTTCTTCCACAATCGGCCTTATATGGTGGTCAATTAGGGTTTAGGAGTTTATTCAAGTTCATGTCTGATTCGAATTGATCTTCTTTTCATTCGTTCCTTTTACTTATTAGCTCATGTTTTGTCCTAAAATTTTGGCTTGTGTTGTTGTTTATTTTGGTTTCTGGTGGGCACAGAGATGGAGCTGTTGACAACGACAACAACAACAAGGACGTGTTTACAGCTGTTGACCAAGCTGAGATTACAAAAGATGTTTGCTTGATGTATGATTTTGTGAATCAGCATTTACAGGAGGCCACAAGGTCGTTACATCAGCTTGAAAGAGAAGTGAGAATTTCTTGTGATCAAGTGATCTTTTGTTAAAACGACAACAACAACAAGGACGTGTTTACAGCTGTTGACCAAGCTGAGATTACAAAAGATGTTTGCTTGATGTATGATTTTGTGAATCAGCATTTACAGGAGGCCACAAGGTCGTTACATCAGCTTGAAAGAGAAGTGAGAATTTCTTGTGATCAAGTGATCTTTTGTTAAAACCTTTCTCTGTCCATATCTTGTTTTGAATCCAGGGTTTCCGACCTAAGCTTGGAGGAAGATGATGTTCTGAAGCTAGTAAGTGAAAAGAGTGAGAACAGAGTTGTAAGGAATATAAAGGCTTCAATGAAATGCAGTGATAGAGAAGTTTCCAAGCCTGCAACCGAGAGCTTCTCTTTCAGAATTCCTCCATCAGAAAACATTGAATCTCAAGGAAGGTCGGATCTTCCGGGAATAGATGTGTTGGTCTCAGCTGCAAAGAGAAAGAGCCGCCTCTGGTCACAGCCAACTGTCAGATTGATGTTAAGATAGAAACTGTGTTTTGTTTTGCAGGTTTGTTTCATGTCTCAACCGTTGATGCTACCTCATCGATCTTAATCAGCAAGCAAATAAAGGACACCAGAGCATTGTCAAGGCAAGCCATATGCTCTCAGATGCAATAAAAGCATTGTGCTTATTACCAATCGATCATACATATATAAGTATGTAACATACCACAAGCAGCTGAAAATTGTAACAAAAGTTTCCTCTCTTGATACGCATTTCTCCTCCTCTTTTTTTGTTTGTTTTGTTTTGGTTTGACAAACATACACATCTATCTCCCTCCACTAATAGATTAATCAAAACACATCTCTTGTTTCTCTAAGCAAGAACTGTGTTTTTTTTACTTGGAAATTGCAGTGGTGGATGATAAGTTTGTCAAGGAACCAGTGAAAATGCAGATGCATATTGAAAATGCTAACAGGTGCAGGAGACTCTATAAGCACCCCTATAAGCACTCTCCATTAGAGGAGAGAAAACAGAGAATTTTTAATAGTGTTGCTTAACCCAATTTTAATAATAAAAAATCTTGTAAGCACTTTTATAAGCTCCGTGCGTTAAGCATGCTCTAAGGCGGTGTGTGGAATGATTCACGAGCACATATACGGAATCACCCAATGAACTCTACAGTTATAGCATTTCAGTTTTGTCTTATTCTTTCTTCTAGCCTCCTCCATGCTTGCCACGCTTTCACTTTCGTTTTCTTGCGTAACTGACATTAACGTTAACTTTTTACAAATGACATAATATTCCCTCTGGTAACCTCATTGGTTACAGCAAAAATTTAAATAAAATAGGAATCATAATATGCAGAATTTGGTATTTCTTATTCAAGATACGATTTTAAAATCTATTTACAGATTTTTTTTTAAACAAATTAATAATTAAAATCGAAGGAAAATATTTCCACTCTTAATTTTGCAGAAATATAATTTTTTTTTTACATTTTAATCTGTGTGATTGAACAAATAATTGCATATTTGGAATTGTGCAAATATATCTCATTGATTTATTCTATATAAATAAGCGGAAATTTACAACAAACAACACGACATTCACAAGTTTTTTGAAATTTGATGGAGCTTCATATGGTTTTCAAATTATCTTCACAATGAAGCAAGAGTGAATTTACTCAGAATACATGGTTGATCAGGTACATAACAATGTTAATTTGAAAATTAAAAAAAAAAAAACTAATTGAGAGAAAGAAGTTGTATACCATAATTATTCTTCTCACTCAGATTTGTTACAAAAATGTTACTAATCAGAAATATTTTTTTTCCGACATCAGTTTAACGAGTTATTGTGTTAAAACCAGTTACCATATATTAACAATATGGCATTTTCATGTTAAATACAGTATACTCCTTCCGTTCTTTAATTATAAATTTTCTAGTTTTTTCATAGCTATTAAAAAAAAGTTACTTTACAATCATAAGTGGTAAGTGTATAGATTTTTGCAATTACACTATTTCCTATAACTTTAAACCAATAAAAATCCAAGAAATATAGTTATTCTTAATAAATGTTTATTGAAATCTGAAAAAGTGCATTAAAAAAGCTAGAAAATTTATATTTATGAAACAACAAAAAATTGCTAGAAAATTCATTATAAAGAAACGGAGGGAGTACTAAATTATCGTGTTAAACAAGTTATCGTATATAAAATTGTAAAAATAGTCAAATTATTTTGTTAACATAGTTATCATTTCATGAAAAAAAAAATGAGTTATTGGTTAACTGACTTTGTTTACTTAACAAATTATTCAAATTTATATCAACAACTATTTAATTAATTGCCATCTGAGTTATATGGTTATCACCTCGTTGGCTAGCACTTTCTGAATCTATGAAGTCTGAACATTCATAATATCTTGACATTTCTAGGCGGGAAAATTCCTCTCACTTTGAGTTATTTCTGAATCTATGAACTCTGAACATAAATACACTTCTCATTAACACTTGCCAAATAGTTAAACACCGATAACATCTTGAAAATTCTATGCGGAAACAAAAGATACGACATTAAAAGATCTCTCACGGATCTTCATCTTTTTTCTACAGACCGGGTCTAGTTTACAATATTGAAAACTAAAAATTAAGCCAAGTCATTTTCAACGACATCTCCAGCTTCCTTTTCAACGACATCTTCAGCTTCCTTTTCAACGACATTTCCAACTTCCTTTTCAATTTTCTTTTCAACTTCTTCAAATACGTCAATGTGCCACGCGAGCACAATCTCCTCAAGCTCCACAATCAGCTCCGACCAGTGAGACTCCTCCTCCTCTTCCTCGTCCCCTTCCGCCACCTTCACCTCCGCCAAAACCAGCCCTTCCAACAGGTCCACCGCCTCAACAACCACCGTCGTTCTTCCTTTTCCCAGCCCCACAACCATCGCCTCTCTCTTCTGCTCCACTCTAAACCCTAACTTCTCCCCTATCTTCTTCGCCTTATCAACAACACCCTCAGCTGAAACTTTGGCCGTGAACCTCTTCTCCTTCCTCTTCTTCCTCTGGAACAACCCAGACAAATCCAACCCTGCCGAGAAAGAGATCAACAGATCAAACGCCGTCACCATCCCGTTGCTCGGTTTCGCCAACCGCTCATCCGCTTCCAACGCGCCAGACTGAAACTCAGAGATCTCTAGACATCTTTTGAACCATGTGGTCTCCATCACAGATTCCACACTCATCCTCGTTGCCGGGTTTGGATCGAGCAGCTTGTAAATGATGGATCTCACAGGCTTCGAGATCCAGCTCGCAAACCTATAGTCTCTTCGCTGGATCTTCCTGTACATGGCCACAAGGTTCGAGTCGTCAAAAGGAACGTAACCTGTGAGAACAACGAAGAGGAAGACCCCGCACGACCACGCATCAGCCTTGGCACCGTCGTAAGCTCGCTGAGCGATTACCTCCGGCGCTGTGTAAGCCGGCGTGCCGCAAGCCGTGTGGAGAAGTCCGTCGACGCAACGGTGCTCAGGCAGAGCGGCCAGGCCGAAGTCGGAGACCTTTAGGTTTTCGTCCTCGTCCAGGAGGAGATTCTGCGGCTTCACGTCGCGGTGAGTGATCCCGTCGCGGTGGCAGAAGCTGAGCGCGGAGACGAGCTGCTGGAAGTAGCGACGCGCCGCGGCTTCGTTGAGGCGGCCGTTGTGGAGGATTTTGGTGAAAAGCTCTCCGCCGGTGGCGAGCTCCATGACGAGGTAGATCTTGGTTTTCGTCGCCATGACCTCGTGGATCTTCAGGATGTTCGGGTGGTGTTGGAGGCGGCGCATCGCTTCGATCTCCCTGATTATCCTCGGCTCCATACCGGCGCTGATTGTTTTCTTCTTGTCGATGATTTTGACGGCCACGAGCTCGCCGGTTTCGAGGGAGCGAGCCACGTGGACTTTGGCAAAGCTGCCGCTGCCGAGACGGCGACCGAGTTCGTATTTACCGAGGAGAATGCTCGCTTTGGTTTTATCGGGCAATTGTGGTGGTGATTGAGACTGAGCTTGGAGTGAGAATATTCCCATAGCTGGTGGTGGTGGAGGAGGAGAGATTTTAGAAGATTCTTAAAAGGTTTCAGGGTGACTGTTTGATTATGGTGACTGTGCTTCAAGCTTTTTATAGGGAAATAAAAATAGGCTTTGCATTAATTGCGTATTGGGTTTATGGTAAGAAATGTGTGACGATGGTGTTAAAAACTGTATTATCTATTGTGAAATTTAATCAGTTACATGAAAACGGTAGAAATCAGGTGGTGCAAAAGTACTGGTTAAAGATAATAAAATGGTGATATAAGGTAAAAATGTACTATTTACCATGAAATTAATCAGTTCTAAGAAGCCGGTACAAAATTTGGCGGTACAAGGGCGGAACAACTGTACACTTCAAAATTCAAAAAAGAGCGCGTACGATCTTGACTTGTTAGTTTATACTGTTTATTTTCTTTCCGAAAGTTCTCGTGAGAAAATAATATAGAAAAATTACTTAAAAATCACACTTGGCACAAATGGCTATTACATTTTTATTTTGATTTCCATAATTTGATGTAAGGATGTGTATATATAAGTTGTGAAATGTGATAAGTATTCAAATTTAAAATGATGAAGGATTTTTTTTCTCTTTTTTATAGTTTGGTAAGTATATTATGGTCTTGACATATGTATAAAAATGATACAAGGGCTGATTATTGGTATTGGTTTACCATATATTATTGCATTAGGTGTGAAAGAAATCTAAACGTAGAAATGAGATGTAAAATGTTGGGTTTTCGAAGCGATCAACTAAATTTTTTGAGAATAAATTTATCCTTTTGCTCGATTGTTTCGGTCCATTTAATTTCCCATAATAAATGTTTGGGCCATATCTCATCGAGATAATGGACTTTGCGTAGAAATGATATGTGAAATGTTGGGTTTAGAAGCGGTCAGTTAAAATTTTGGGTTTTAAGAATTAAATCATCCTTTTGCTCGATTGTTTCGATCCAATTTCCTTAATAGATTTTTGGGCCATATCTCATCGAGATAATGGACTTTGTGTAGAAATGAGAAGTGAGATGTTGGATTTAGAAGCGGCCAGTTAAAAGTTTGGGTTTTAAGAATTAAATCATCCTTTTTGCTCGATTGTTTCGGTCCAACTTCCTTAATAAAATTTTGGGCCATATCTCATCGAGATAATGAACTTTGCGTTGAAATGAGATGTTAAATGCTGGGTTTAGAAGCAGTCAATTAAAATTTTACGTTTTGAGAATCAAATTATCTTTTTTCGATTGAGTTAGGCCATTTTCCTTAATATATTTTTGGATCATATCTTATCGATTTGATGAACTTTGCGTAGAAATGGGATGTAATATGTTGAGTTTTGAAACGATCAATTAATTTTTTTTTGGGTTTTGAAAATCAAATTATCCTTTATGTTCGATTGCTTTAGTCCATTTTACTTAATAGACTTTTTGTGTCATATCTCATCGAAGAAATTTTATTTTGAGGATCCAATTGTCCTTTTGTTCGATTGCTTCAGTTCATTTTCCTTAATGGCTTAATGAAATACATCTCACTATATTTGTTTTTGTATTCGTTTGGAACATAAGAACATTTATTTCATTCAAAGATTTTATTACCTCTTAGCAAAAATAAATAAAGAACAATATACAGTACTAATTTTTTTTCTTACATTATTGTTACATAGTTTGATGATACAATTATCACAAGTTTTTTCAGTTTTACACGTCTCGTATAATCCAATGTATCTTCTCTTTTAAATGGTAAATATGATCTTTAGAAGGTTAACTTATGCCTTAGCAATTTATCACATACTCTATAACTTTATAAACCAAGATTTCTAAATTTAGGGATACATTGTTGAATAACTATTATTCCCAAGAGTAATAATTCAAAATTCAGAAAACAATATCTTAGAGCCGTTGTTAATCACACTTATCATGTTGTTAAGTAAAATTAAAAAAATCACACTTATCATGTTTTGTTAAGGAAACAAACCACTTATCTGGTTTCTATTGGTCATTTGGAGTTTGAGTTTTATCTATTTTATGTTATTCTTTAAAATCAAAACGGTCCACGTCAGTGGGACCCATCTATTAGACATTCTTTTTGTACTTCACTCAGTCAAGCAAGATTCTCCAACCTGACGGTTAAAACTTTAACCCTTCTTCGATAGTATCATAGTACAAAATAATTTTGTCTTTATTCAGTAGTAACGCAGAAAATAATTAAATTAAAGTAACTTTTTGTAACAAGGGTATTTGCGTCATTTAGTGTAGGCTCCTACGCTCTTTCCTCGTGAGCCGCCTCCGGCGTTACCAACGTGAGAAAGACTGTCTCCATCAACCCTCAGGATTGTTTGGCCTGAGGCATATCGACGGCTCTCATTGGGTCACGTCATCGAACGTTGTACACCTTGGCACCTTGCTGCGTGGGTCCCGTGGTGGTGTATTCAAAGACTGTAACGGGAAATAAAAAATGTAGTATGGCAAAGAAAGCATGGAAATAGAAGTTTTAATTACTCTTTTAAGAGACTTTGGATTTTTTCCCCACTCGACTTTGGCATATTCGTCCTTACTAAACCGCACTAATATAAGCCTAATTTTAGAGATAACGTCTATTATAACATGGAAAAACTTTTCTCGTATTTGGAATCTTCGAATGTAGTCAAAAACATCTAAAAAGTTGTATTATATTGAATTATTGATAGTGGAAATAGTAATTATATTTAAATTTGTAAAGAGAGATTTGCTTTTATGGTTGAATTGCCAAATTAACTTGTGGTTTTTTATTGGGAGATTTTGCAAAATTATGAGGGGCCGCGATTGACAACATCAACAAGACTTTATAAAAAAAAAAGACAACATCAACAAGAACAAAATGCTAAGAAACAAAAAAACGTTTCAAAAAGATTGATTTAATAAATTAGGTGGAGTATGATTACTAGAATGATTAAGAGCGGTGTTTCCTACCAATACAATGTGGTTGTATGGTTTGTGTTGTCATATCTTTTTTTTTTTGTTCAAAGTGTTGTCATATCTTAAACCAATACAATGGTACGTTAGACTTATTATACAAATGTTTAATAAATAAAATAACTCTAAAACAACAAAAAAAACTCTAAAAATGGCGATTATTTCATAGACAAGTTCAGGGAGGTTGTCAAGAGAATAAAGTAAGAGAAGAAAAGTTAGGGGAGGCCGTTCATGGACATTTGGACATCAGCAAGTCGGATGCCATATAATATTTGTCTTAATCGAATATTAGTGAGACTAAAATATACTAGTAGTTTTTAAAGCATTTGGCCTATACAATTCATTCACATGTCAGTAAACAATTATTTCTTCTATATAATTGAAAACTAATAATCCTACAATTACGATTATTTTGATGAGAGAACATAAATCTGTAAGCCAATATCACCGGTACAATGCAGAAGATAATCAATTGTTAATAGGTTTTCCGAATACATATGCCATTGTTTATCAACTATTTATCCATAATTAGAAATTTAATCTGGCGATGGACATCCAACATATATGTCAACGTACTTTGTTTTCGAAACGGACTGTGCAGGCCTAGTCAGAAACTCGTGAAAATTAGGTATTACAACAGAGCTACATGAGTTCAGGAGAAAAGGTGACAGTTTAAGTACCTTATTATAGTATTACTATTTTATAAGTTACATAGCGCATTAAAAATTCTCAGTGTTCTGTGGTTTATAAAATTGGAGTCGCAAATTATTTCTTTCTCCAATTAAGCAAGGGCTGGACTTGGATTCTCTTATTTCATTCTGAAAGCTTCATGGTCGTGGAGATGTTACCTTTATAGTGATGTGTTGGATGTTCCACCACCACTAAGAGTAGTTAGTATTTAATATTTTGTCGATACCTAATATCAAACTCAGACGTTGCTTTCGGAGTACTTTGGTCTATTGGTTTCTTCTACTAGTAAAGGGTAATAATATATAGAGAGTTAAGAGTACCAAATTTAATAAGGGCAGACGAAACACATGTCTTTCTTCTTCTTTTTTCTTTGTACAACGTATTCAATTCTTCTTGATACTAGTAAGTAGAGTATAGCGTTTTATTGGCAATTTGACACCATAGCCAATTACTAAACATTCTAAACTTATGTTATCGTTGGAGAAAACCATAGATAAATTTAACGTTAATGTATTAAGTTCCAACGGCACTTTACTGAACTCGAAAGCTCTAAACCCACACGCGCCGATATTTCTCCGAGATGGAGACATCAACGAAATCGGTACGTGTATATCCATCGTGGTCAATTTTGTGAATGATGTTCCATCTTGTTGCTTAGAGTTTTGACTGCGATGATTTGCTTGCATTTGTTTTGAGTCTATCATTAGTTTCAGACTTCTGCCTCGTTTTATAGTAGGTATCAAACTCTCAAGGACATCATTGTTGGGGTCGGAATACTTCCCGTCGAGTTCAACGATAAAGCATGACGCATGGCAAGGAAGGGAGAGCTAAAGTAAGGCGACCTGTACCGGTACGAGCTCTGCCACTGCAGTAGCTGTTGCAGTACGATCGATCCCGTCACTGCAACAGTAGCTCGATCGATCCCGTCACTGCACAGTAGCTCGATCGATCCCGTTACTGCAGCACCAGCTCGATCGATCCCGTCACTGCACAGTAGCTCGATCGATCCCGTCACTGCAACAGTAGCTCGATCGATCCCGTTACACTGCACCAGCTCGATCGATCCCGTCACTGCACAGTAGCTCGATCGATCCCGTCACTGCAGCAGTAGCTCGATCGACCCCGTCACTGCACAGTAGCTGATCCCGACACAGCAGCATTCGATTGAGCCCACAGGGAGAGGAGATCGATCGAGTATGGGCCGAGCTGTAACTATCTTTGGGCCGAACCGACATCCATCCTTAGCGATTTGAGCCCAAGCCCAAAAAAAGAGATTCACAGTTCGCCCTAGACAATGGTGAGAGACAAAGGAACGGCGCCGCACACAGATAACAGGAAATCTTTAGAATATCTTTAGAGAATCTCGCAAAGAGTCGGTTCTATACCTTGTATAAATAGAGATCGAACCAAAGGGTTCGATCATCACTTTTCATTGCAAAACACTTTACACTTTACATCAATAAAATCACCATCTTTGGATCTCGATTCGTGTTATACTTAGAATTTCTAGTTCCTCTCTCAAATCATCTCTCGAATCTATTGTGCGGATTTCGGTTCATACAATCATCAACGTAGAGTTGTATATCACTTTTGATGTATACAAATCTTATTTCATTAATGATGTTTTCTTGCATTCAATTAACCAAATGCAAATGCTGAAGTCTTTTCTCTTGTTTACGGATGCTTCTCATGTGGTCAAAGGCAAATGCAAGCTAGTTCCTCTGAAGTTTGGTTTATATTGTATACTGAGACTTTAAGTCTATGATAGAAAGACCTCAAAGCAGTTCTAGATATCTGAATATTTCATTGTAGCTTTAGAAGTTCAACAAGATTCTGAACAAAAGTACCGTACGCTACTATTCAAAAGGCGGACCTAGGGACAAGTGGGTGGGCTGCTGCGTGTTCCGTGGTGGGAGGAGCCCTCAAAGGTGACCTTGCGATTAGGGGTGCCGGTCCTTGTGTCGAAAGTCTTCCTAACAAGGCCAAGGGTTAGTTGAAGAGATCCGTTGGTAATTACGGCGGTACAAGTAGGGTGCCAGGTATTGCTGAAGGTGGAAGGCCACAGGATTATGTGGTCCTTGGCTTGAGGGGAGGATTATTGAGATATCAATCAAGTCCCACATCGGAAGTTTAGACAAGAAGTGTCTAATATATAAGCAGTGTCCAACTCCAACTAGTTTGAGGCCTTTTGGGAGGAGCCCAAAGAGAAATCCGTGCGGGCTTTGCCACTTGGGCTCAAAGCGGACAATATCATACTAGTGGGGGAGTTGGACTGGGATTATGGAAGCCCAACAGCTACCTCTAATATTTTTCTTGAAAACATTTCAAGCAATAACAATAAGAAGTTATAAGAGCTTCGAAAACATATCTAATTTTCAGACCGTGCTTCTAGAATTTTTGGGAACATGATAGATACTACAATCTTTTTTCAATTCATTATAACCTGACATGAGCTTGAAGCTCTAGGCAGAGAAACCAACTCTTTGAGTTTCTTGGATCGCTCCTCGGAGATATATACAGTCTTTAACTGTCTTGCGTTCTTCAAGATGTACGCCACAATTTCCTTCTCTTTGTCTCTCAGATTGTAATGTTTCCACTTGAAAGTGTGTAAATGAAACATCAAACATTCAGGAACTGAACTTGGTCTTCTCCAATGACCTTTAATGGGCTTTACGTCAGTAGTAAAACCTTCCGTGGACCAAGGGTGTTCCTTGCACTAACAAAAGAAACATTATTGTGCGTTAGACCATAAAACTAGAACTTAAGACAATGAAACAGTTGAAAAAAGAAACTGAAAAGCCATGATGTTTTGTTAATGTGCATACCGAGCAGAGCTTGAGAAGTTGTAGTTTAGGAGAAGTTTCAAGCATCCAAGTAAGCAGATCCCACCACCCTGAGGCACTTGCGCATAGCTCCAAATGAAGAAGATGATCAAATCCAATGCGGTGATGAAGCTGCATATGTTAAAAAACATAAGCACAACAGATACAAATGTTATAAATAACAATAAACACAGATTGTTTTTTAGTTACCATTAAAGCGGAGAAACATAAGCTGAGGCGCTTGACTGATGGAAGAGATTCCAGCAGCTTCTCGGGACTTTGGTAATCAACGTTAACAATTGCCTCAACCACCTCAGGCATATTCTCACACAAACACAAATCACCGCAGAGATCCACAAAGTTCAAATACTTCAAAGACGGGGCACTGATCACAATCTCATAAAGGGGATCATCGCCTTCGGTATATGTATCAAGTATAGATAATCTTTGTAAGCTAGGAACTTCAACGTAGAGAGATTGCGAATTGTCACAGTTATACGTTTTGTCCAACACCAACTCCTCAAGAACAGGGCAGCCTGATAAAAGCATACGGTGAGATTCTTCGGTTTTGTGCTCTACACATATAAGGTGCAATGTTTTCAAGGACGGAAAACAAACGTCGCTAGGAACATCAAGAGTCATCGACGCGGCTAGTTTCAAGACCTCGAGCTTCTCATAAGTATAGAGAGTCTTTGGTAACTCGATTGATCTATGATAACAGTTTGTATCAAAAGTTTCAATTTCACGCACTTCGCGAACCATTCCCATTCTGATCCATGTCGCCAAATCTTCAGAGCTGCAACAAGGACCAACTTTGAACTTCAAAGTTTCTAGAACCGGAGCTCTGTTCAATACCAATGATCTGTCCACATACTTGATGTATTTTCTATACTGGGAAGGGTCCCGTTCCGAACCATAATCAAAATCAAGCTTTGGAAGCATCGTCCAAAGAAACCTCCATCTTTTCGACAAGATCATTGTGGCGACTACATCTTTTGTAGGAAGTGATGAAACAATCTTCAGGAGCAAATCATCCGACAGATTACTGATCCTATCCATATCCAAGCCCCTCCTAACTAAAAACCACCCTTTCGAACTAGAAACCTTTCTGATTCAACCGACAATGCTTGTGGTCACTCCGAAATCAACAAGAAAACCAGACTAACTAGGAAATCCAAAGTTCCAACTTCCTAAATCTCAAAACGAATTCCTCAGAAGAACAAACAACCAAATACTCATCGAATCAAGCGAAACCCTAACAAACTCGCGTTACCGGTGAAGAACGAGGAGAAGAGAAGAAGACCCAAAACCCTAACCATGAAGCAGAATCAGAAGACACTTACTTTTCCATGGAGATTGCGTCGGTTTCTCTACGCTTTTAAGTTGAAACACATTGAGGGGAAACGAAGAGCTATAAAAAAAAATTTGGAAGTTTGAAGAGAGTGAGAGTAAGAGATTGTTTAGCTTCTTCGTCATCTAGATGACACAAACAAAAAGGAGAAATTGGGCTCAGCGTATAAAGCCCAAATTTAATATTTAAGGCCCAAACTAATTAATTATGTTGAGCATCATCATCATCTCCTTCGTCAAAATATTAAATATGACGCTGAGGTTAGAGAAATAGGAATTTCGCAAGTATCCAGAGCTCATGTGTGAACTCAACTGAAGTGGAAACTGAGGATGCCAAGAAACGGAGTGAATAGATTAAAATAATCTTGTTTAGGCCTTGTTAATGTAGCTGCAGAGGAAGCTCTAAAGGAGAAGAGTGTTACTAAAACTCAAACTCCGAATCAAATGTCGTCCAGATCAACATCCTCGTGGAGTACATCATGAAGGACATTTTGAATGCTCAACATCATCATGATGATGCTCTATGCTTATTTTTGGTGATTCCTCAGTTGTACCATTGTTCTCTCTCAGACTCTTGGTCTTAGAGATGCTAAAGAAGAAGAAAACTGTTCTTTAGAGGTATGGAGCTTACGTAATGAAACTACTATATATATATATATATATATATATATATATGCAGAAATCAACGTATGGCTTTATTTACATGATTTTTTTAAATGGCAGGTAAGTAAATTATGATCTAACCAGAGACTAAGCATGTATTTTAAACACATGTTTTGCAAAAACATTGACGATGTTGACAAGACAACTGATGAGATCAATGAGTAAACTGAATAACATGAAACAGATCCAGGTTGCATTTTAGGCTATATGTGAGACTGCTCCTTTATCTCCATGACACCACCAGGGCCGGCCCGGAGCTAAAGCCCGTAAAGCATGGGCTTTAGGCGCCAAAATTTGCAAAGTTGCTTAGGGCGCCAAAATATATAGAAATTTTAGGGGCATTATACCTAATTATGTATCTAGCGTATTGATTGGGTTGGTCGATTATGCAGTCGGGCATTCCGGTTCGAATCTTCCCCCACATGGTTTCCATTCTTTTAGCAAATAAATCTAATATGGATTAGATATATATATATATATATCCCTTTTGATGATATTAAATTCCTTTTCATATTAATAATTAAAAAAAATTAAATAAAGAAATCTAGTTAGTAGTTTCTAATTTTTTCTTCGTCGTCTCTTGCCTCAAATAACGTTTTCTGTCAATCCACCGATTTCTGTCACTATTTATGTTGTCTTCTTTTAATTCTTTTTTTTTTTTTTTTTTTCTGTTAGCAAATTTTGTGTGTACTTGTACATTTTTGGTTATGTTAAATTTCTAAAATTTCATACGTTTTTCTTATGTATCCTAATACCAAAATCATGTTTACTGACCGTAATATGAGATTTAAATCAGTGGGGTTTGTGATCTATATATATTGTGAACTATTACCTATTCCCTTCCCTGTTGGTCTAACCCCGATCCCCGAACAGAAGTTTTGTTGCAGATGTCACAAGAAAAGATTATAACGTTGGAGAGCGACAAATACAAGAAAGAGAACACAATCAAGTTACCTTTCTAATTAACGTCTAGAAATCAGAAGATGCTTCACCAAGTTTCTAGATTTGATCATTTAAAATATTGAATCCCCCACCCTCTTTTACACATTTAAAGGCTCATTGGGCTCTTGTCCATGTGGATTATCCGAATTGCTTAATGGGTAGTTACAAAAGCGAAACGACATAAGGTCATTGTCGTTTCGAAATGAACAAAAGTCAAAACTACAGTATTAACAAAAGAAGCAAAAAGTCAAAATTAAAACTAAGCCCTAATTAAATTTACCCCCAAATCACAAAACAACGATAGTCTCTTCTTCTCTGTCATCATCACTCGTCTAGAGTCAAAACTTTCTTCACTTCGAATGTGATAATGGAAATTTCGTCGAAACTGATCCGATTCTCTCCACACGAAGTCGAGAACCATCTCGAACTGTCACTTCGTCAAGCCTACAATAATCTCCAGCCGAAATTACGGCCGCCGTTTTCCTTAGAAATCCCAGACCCACAAGAGTATCTCGAGCTCAACAAAGCCATCGTCTACGGCGTGTTATCCGATTCCGGTTCCTGTAAAACCCACATCAAGCACCTACACGCTCTCGTCACCGACGGGTATGCGTTTTTCACGAGTCTGCTTGTTGGAATCGTTGTTGAATTCTACGGTAAACTCGTCGATTCCGCTAAGATCCAGCTTCTCTGGGCGACGAAGGAGATGATCGGTGTTTCGAGCGTCGGGCTTGAGGATTTGATTGTGTCTTTGCTGCGACGAATCGGAAGCGGAGATTACAGCGATCAGAATCTATGGCTTTGCTCTGAATTGGTGAGTTTGTTTCTCGAGAATTGGGATTGTTTGCTTGAAGAGTTTCCATTGGTTTTGACTAGTGCTCTGTATAGTTTTCTTCGTTTGTTAGCTGATCATTGTAGAGTTATAGGCGTAGCGAAACTCGAAAACGTGAAGAGATTGGAGATCAGATTCTGTGTCAAAATGTTTAGAGAGGAGCCTGATTTGTGCTTGAAGATTGGTAGAGATCTTCTCCGGCTATTGCAGGATTTGGTTCACGTCCCTGAATTCAGAGAGATACAGAACGGTTTGGTGGTAAACCGGTGTACTTCGAGTAGATACTTCTTTCTCCGAATCACTCCTGAGATGGAGATCCAGCTAAGGTTTCTCCTTGGGAATGTGAAGTTAGGAAGCCACAAGAGGCATCAGATGTGGTTCTTGAAGAAGTTTTTATTAGGTCCTGAGAAAGAAACGGTTCTGATCGACATAGTCCGGTTCGTCTGCTGCGTGATTCACCCGACTAACGAAACCATCCGGTCAGAGATCATGCCGAGATGGGCTGTTATAGGTTGGTTTCTGGAACTGAGTAAGCAGAGCCAGCACATTGAACGGAGCGTGAAGCTGGCTCTGTTCTACGACTGGCTGTTTTTCGACGAAAGAGTCGATAGTAATATCATGAATGTTGAACCGGCTGCGCTCTTGATGGTGTGGTCGATACCGCAGTATCCGCAAATCACTCACTCTTTACTTGAGTATTTACTGAATCTTGTGGAGAGTTATGAGTTAAGCCGTCGAGATATGGTCGCGAGAGGCGTGGCTTCGGCTTTCAGAGATATCGAGCGGAAAGGAGTCATAAGGTCGTTGGATATACTAATAAAGAATGCTGCAGTTGCATCGGATCTGAAGAAGAAGCTAGCAAAGTTGTTGGCTCCTGTGAATCTTCAACAACTTAGTATTCCTTCTGAGAAAACGTTACCTTCTTCAGAAGCAGTATTAAAAGAATGCAGCACCAAAGTAGTAGGAGTAGTTGATAATCCTGATCAGAAGCTGGGACAATTCTGTTGAAAATCCAGCTAAACACAAGATCCAAAGAATTTCTTAGACGAAAACAAATTGGGCCATATGTGACTATTGGGCCCAATCTATACAATTGGGCCTTAAAATTTTTAAAAGGCGATTTATTTTTGTAATTTACGAAATCTCCACCACCAATTAGAAAGTTTTGATTTCTAACCTCGTCTCCAATCATGATGTCGATTCCCAGTTTCTCAGTGATACCACTAAAGCTCAAGTTGATTTCTCTTCATCGTCGACTGTAATTTTCTCGGGAAAGTTCTCACCATCCTACAATTGACAACGAAGGTGAGTCGTTTCTGGATTTTCGATTCGTCTCTCTCTCTCTAGGAAATGCTTACATTCGTCTGCTGTTTATGCGTTGGGATCAAAATCTACGAAATGCTTAATTTCTTCGTTAATTTAATTTGATTTTTGCATCTGGCTATTCTCTGATTGCATTCAATTGCTCAATTTTGTTTCCGCTTAGTTGTTTCACCGAGAAAGGATGCAAAGTCTTATTCAAATTGGACATTCGGAGATTTTCCTCATCGCCACTAGAGATAAACCCATTACGAGGTTCGTGGTCGATTCTGGGTTTCCACTATGAATGATTCGATACAGCGATTTTTGATGAATTTGCACTAACATTTCTGTTTGATTCCACCAATTTCATCGCAGGGCTCAGCTTTGGTTCACAGGAAGGCTCTCTTTTCGACAAGAATCATTTGGTAAGTAATTGAAATGATAACATTGAAAAAACACATTCTTCTTAATTTTCCCCAATTTTGAAATCAAATTTTGGTGAGTGATTGAAATGGTGTTTATTAGGGATTCGTTTAAAGAACAGAGTCGAGTTTAGTGCAAGACCTGTACCTCCAAACCTAATCGCAGCAGAGAAAGAAGAAGCCAAAGCAGTTTTAACTCTATTCTTCAAGAAGCAAGGTCTCAGCAACAGCGTCTCCGCTCGTATCATCAACAAATCCGAGCAATTCATTGACCATTTAGTCTCCAGACTCCACTCTCTTCACAAATCTCGCTACCTCGTAGGTAAGTTCGATCTTCTAAAACTCACATCAAAACAAGAAGATGATGATGAAAAGTTCTGATTGTTTCACTCTTCACAGGAAGAGAGCTCACAACACTCGAAATCAGAGACTCTCTCAATCCATACCTCGAACACCTTCACCAAGAACACGGCGATCTCATCTCCGACCTCGTCATAAGCTTCCCCTATCCACCACAAACCGAGCCAAGACCCGTTCCACTTCCTCTCCCTCCGCCTCGTGACCCCACCGATTCCCTTTCAGACACTCGTAAGCTAAGAGCCGTCTCTCGTGTCAGCGAGCTCGACGGAGAAGGTGCATTACGTCCACAAACACTCTACCTTCTCGACCTCGGTTTAAACCTAGAACAGATCAAAACCATCACACGCAAGTTCCCTGCATTCCCATACTACAGCCTCGACGGCAAAATCAAACCGGTCGTCGAGTTCCTCCTCCACCTCGGCATCCCCAAATCAGACATCCCTACAATCCTCTGCAAACGCCCTCAGATCTGCGGTATCAGCTTAACCGATAACCTAAAACCGACGATGGCCTTCCTCGAGACGTTAGGTATTGATAAGACTCAATGGGCTAAGATCATTTCCCGTTTCCCGGCTATCTTAACGTACAGCCGCCAGAAACTTACTTCAACCGTCGACTTCTTGACGCAAACCGGTCTCTCTCAAGAACAGATCGGGAAGATTTTAACGCGGTGTCCGAATATAATGAGTTATAGCGTGGAGGAGAAGCTACGTCCGACTATGGAGTATTTCGAATCGTTGAATGTCAACGTAGCTGTGCTCCTTCATCGTTGCCCTCAGACGTTTGGGTTGAGTATAGAGTCGAATTTGAAGCCTGTGACTGAGTTTTTTCTGGAGAAGGGTTATGGGATTGATGAGATTGGGGTGATGATCTCTAGGTATGGAGCTTTGTATACGTTTAGCTTGAAAGAGAATCTGATGCCGAAATGGGATTACTTTCAGACGATGGATTATCCGAATTCGGAGCTGGTGAAGTTTCCGCAGTTTTTCGGGTATAGTTTGCAGGAGAGGATTAAGCCGAGGTACGAGCTTGTGAAGAGGAGTGGTGTGAGACTATTGTTGAATCAGGTTTTGTCTTTGTCGGGAGTTGAGTTCGAGAAAGTTGTTAGGAAGAAGATGATGAAACTTGTTGTGTCTGATAACTGAAATAGCTGAATAATAAAAGAAATGGCGCGATTCTGTTTATTTTTTCTGGTTTTTACTGTAGTTTAATTCTCCGGGAGCAGTTGCCGGAGTTCCATGTGAGTCGCCGGCAAAGCAAAATCAGAAGGTGGAGGAGCAGTTTAAATTATCGAGGCCCATAATATTTCAGTATTCATAAATTAAGCCCATAATTGTCTATGCCTTGACATCAAATTATTAGGTTTGTTGGGTTTTTTAACTTTGAAGGACAAACCTTGGAGATTACGTAACAATATTTTAATAATGTCTTCTCTGGAGAAGGAGCCAGAGCCGTCGATGTCGATGGAATCAACCCCAACTCCTTTGCTTCCCGATGATTTGCTATTGAGCTGCTTCGCACGTGTCTCTAGATTGTATTATCCGACCCTCTCCCTCGTCTCCAAGCGTTTTCGATCTCTCCTTACTTCACCGGAGCTTTACAAGGCCCGGACACTCTTGGGCCATACCGAAAATTGTCTCTATGTGTGCTTTGAGTCCTATCCACGTTCTCTCTGGTACACTCTCTGCCTAAAACCTAATCAAACCCTAATTAACGACACAAGTGACTGGGAGGATAAGAAAAAGAAGAAGAATGAGTCAAGTGGGTATGTTTTGGCTAGAGTCCCAATTCCAAGCTCTCCTCGTGTGCGCTTTCCGGGTCTCGTGGCGGTTGGTTCTGATATCTACGGAATTGAAGATGGCATCCCCTACTTCGAAAAAAAGGAAGAACGCTCCTCCTCTAACGTCTGGATTCTAGATTGCCGGATTCACACGTGGTGCGAGGCTCCAAGCTTGCCGGTGAAGCTAATGACACTTTCTGCTAGCTTTCTTGATGGAAATATATATGTAGCAGGAAGTAGCTACAAAGACGGCAACTGGAAGAACACAATAGAGGTTTTCGACACAAAAACACAGATTTGGGACACTGAGAGCATCGACCCTTGCAGCGAGACAAAATGCAATTTCAATAACTCGAGAAGCGCATGTATTGACGGAAAGTTGCACGTGCTGCAGAATAGGGAAGAGACGGTTGCTTACAATTCCAAGGAGAGTGAATGGGACTTGGTTGGAGGAGAGATGGGACATTATAAGATTTATTATTCTTATTGCGTGATAGAGAATGTTATGTACTCTCTTAATTCTAACGGAGTATTGAGATGGTATGACACTGATGTAAGCAGGTGGAGATGTTTGACGGGTTTGGAAGGACTACCTGAGTTCCTTCATGACGCTCGTATTAGATTGGCTGATTATGGTGGAAAGCTTGCGGTTTTGTGGGAAGGCAAGATAGAGAATGATCCGTATGATTTAAGGCAAGGGGGCGGCTATAACAAGATTTGGTATGCGGAGATTGCGCTTGAGAGACGGCAAAAAGGACGTGAGATTTGGGGGACAGTTGAGTGGCTTGATAATGTGCTCACAGTCCCTAAATCATGTAATCTCGTGAAGGTTCTTGCGGTTACTGTTTGATATATGCATGACTTTGTCAATTGATTTTTCACTTTTTGATTAATGTTAAACTTGTTTTTTGATCGTATATCTTTGAAGATCGTTTTGTGTTTGAGTAGACTGAATTCTCTTTACTTCATTCGTGAAAAGAAAATAACACACTTTGATGAGTATTTGATGATTGTTTATTAATTTTAGTGGTTAAATTTGCAGCAGGATGAGGTTTTGTAGTTAGGATTAAAAAGCATTCGCTCATATACTTCATATAATCATATCTTTGCTTCGAAATTGGGTTTTGTGTTTTGGTTGTATCCATGGGCAACAATATTCGGACTTGTGAAGATTTCTAACCATATTTTATGTATGTTTCTTTATAGGGACCCTTCTTTATATGAATGCATAATGCATTACGTACCTCTATATAAATGTATGTATTGCTATTAAGTGTGCACTATAACATGTCTTCTTTTTCCAAGAACACGACTACACGTGATCTTCTAAATAACTCTATTTGATTTGTTGTTGAAAATAAAACATATATCACCACACTACCAGAAAACTAAGGTCATATTTACAAATGATGCAAAAAATAATATTAAAATAAATAAAAATATTTTAAGCAAAAAATGATGTCCTAGAAGAAATTTCTTTAATACATATTATCAATGAAAAATAAAATTAAAATTGTCATTATATTTCATAGTGTACATGTGTATTCTTCTTCTATGTCCAATATATAAAAGAGCCAATGATAAGCAAGAAAGCGATTATCTGAATTAAGATCATTTCACCAGATTTCAGAACTACAAATTGAGGTAAGACTATTTGAGCTAACACAACTTAATCAATCTGAGCTTTCTCAATCATAATCAGAAGGATGAGGAGTTTACAATCAGAGCTGAGTATTAAGCACATCATTCATCTTTTGTCTTTGGAGTCATTCATTTCCTCCGATCTGTTTTTCAAGATTAGTTTTTCTTGAGTTTAAAAATGCAAATGCAAAAACTATCAAGGCCCATTAAAATTTCAGTATCTATAAATTAAGCCCATAATTGAATTATGCCTTTACATAAATTAGGTTTGTTGGTTTTTAACTTTAACGCAAACCTTAGCGATCACGTTTCACGTAACAATGATTTAGAAATGTCTTCTCTGGGGAAGAAGGAGACAGAGCCGTCGATGTCGATGTCGATGGAATCAACCCCAAATCCGTCGCTTCCGGAGGATTTGCTATTGAGCTGCTTCGCACGCGTCTCTAGATTGTATTATCCGACTCTCTCCCTCGTCTCCAAGCGTTTTCGATCTCTCCTTACTTCACCGGAGCTTTACAAGGCCCGTTCACTCTTGGGCCATACCGAAACTTGTCTCTATGTGTGCTTGGGGTCCTATCCGCGTTCTCGCTGGTACACTCTCTGCCTAAAGCCTAATCAAACCCTAACTTGTGACACAAGTGAGGATGAGAAAAAGAAGAAGAATGAGTCAAGTGGGTATGTTTTGGCTAGAGTCCCAATTCCAAGCTCTCCTCGTGTGCGCTTTCCGGGTCTCGTGGCGGTTGGTTCTGATATCTACGTATTTGAAGAAGAGAGACCCTACTTTGAAATAAAGAAAGAACGCTCCTCTAACGTCTGGATTCTAGATTGCCGGACTCACACGTGGCGCGAGGCTCCAAGCTTGCCGGTGAAGCTATTGACACTTTCCGCTAGCTTTCTTAATGGAAAGATATATGTAGCAGGAAGTAGCTGGTCCTGGAAGAACACAGTTGAGGTTTTCAACACAAAAACACAGATTTGGGACACTGAGAGCTTCACCGGCTGCGATTTTTATGACTCGAGAAGCACATGTATTGACGGAATGTTCCACGTGTTGCAGAAGAGGGGAGAGGCGGTTGCTCACAATTCCAAAAAAGGTAGATGGTACTTAGTTGGAGGAGAGATGGATTATCATAAGATTTATTGTTCTTATTGCGAGATAGAGAATGTTATGTACTCTATTACTTCTAACCGAGTATTGAGATGGTATGACACTGAGGTAAGCAAGTGGAGATGTTTGACGGGTTTGGAAGGACTACCTAAGATCCCTCTTGGCGCTTGTGTTAGATTGGCTGATTATGGTGGAAAGCTTGTGGTTTTGTGGGAAGAGTATCATTATGATTTGAGGCAACGTGTCGGCTATAAGAAGATTTGGTGTGCGGAGATTGCGCTTGAAAGACGGCAAGGACCTGAGATTTGGGGAAAAGTTGAGTGGTTTGATCATGTGCTTACAGTCGAATCATGTGATCTCGTCAAGGTTCTTTCTGTTTCTCTTTGATGAATGGTTTTGTCTTTTGTTTCACTTATAGTCGATTGATTTTTCACTTTCTTGTTTTGTGATCATATATCTTTAGAGATCGTTTTGTGTTTGAATAGACTTAATTATCTAAACTTCATTCTTGAAAAGAAAATAGCACACTTTAATGAGTATTTGATGATTGTTTATTAATTTTAGTGGCTAAAATTTGCAGAACAATGAGGTTTTGTAGTTAGGATTAAAAAGCATTCGTTCACATACTTCATATACTTCATATCGTTGCTCCAAAACTGGGTCTTGTGTTTTTGGTTGTATTGTATCCATGGGCAACAACAATATTCGAACTTGTGAAGATGTCTAATCATATTTTATGGGTGTGTAAACGATTTGTATGTATCTCTATATCATAGGAATGCATTACCTCTATATAAATGTATGTATTACTATTAAGTATTAAGTAATCTTCATTCTTATGAACACTAAAACATGTCTTGTTTTTCCAAGAACACGACTACACGTGATCTTCGAAATGACTCTATTCTGCATTGGTGATATATGTTTTATTTTCAACAACAAATCAAATAGTGTTAGAAAGTATCACAGGACAAACTGTTGAATGGTCCGAAGCACAATCGGTGCCCTTTCCCTGTGATATTGTATTGACTTATAAAGAGTACAAGAGATCAATCTACATAATTGAGGATTATACACATTCCTGATTTATCGATCGTATCATTGACTTTCCTAATCTAACACACCCCCGCAGTCGGAGCGAGAGGAGGACGGACGCTCAGACTGGATCGGAAAGACGTAAAGAGTGCAGATGGTAAACCTTTTGTAAAAATGTCAGCGTACTGATGAGAAGAAGGTACGTGTAGAACACGAACCTGACCGACGGAAACCCGCTCTCGGACAAAGTGTATGTCAATTTCAACATGTTTTGTGCGCTGGTGTTGAATCGGGTTCGTAGAGAGGTAGACGGCACTAACATTGTCGCAATAGACGATTGTGGCTGAGCTTACTGGACAACGTAATTCAAGTAAAAGGTTGCGTAACCAAGTGGTTTCAGCGACAACGTTGGCGAATCCTCTGTATTCTGCTTCGGCACTGGAACGAGAGACTGTGGCTTGTCGTTTTGAGGACCATGAGACAATGTTATCGCCGAGAAAGACGCAGAAACCAGAGGTTGATCGTCTGGTCGTTGGGCAGCCTGCCCAATCGGCATCGGTATACGCCGTGATCTTGTTAAGAGAGGAGCGAGTGATCTGGATACCGTGGTCGAGAGTGCCTTTGACATAGCGGAGAATGCGTTTAAGTGCATTATAATGCGGCTCGCGAGGGTCATGCATATAAAGGCAGATTTGCTGGACCGCATATGTGATGTCCGGACGAGTGAATGTGAGATATTGGAGGGCGCCGACAAGGCTTCTATAGAGAGTTGGATCAGCTACGGGTTTTCCGGCATCGGCACTGAGCTTGGATGAGGTGTCGACCGGTGTGGAGCTGATGTTGCAGTTTGACATCCCAGCGCGATGAAGGATGTCGGCAGCGTAGTTCCGTTGGTTCAAGTGCAAGCCATGGCTGTCCCTGTTAATAGCAATACCAAGAAAATAGTGAAGTTTTCCAAGGTCAGTCATTTCAAATTCAGAGTGTAGTGAGTTTATGATCGACCGTAAGAGGGTTTGATTGGATGCGGTGAGAGCGATGTCATCCACGTAAAGAAGGAGGTAAGCAATATCTTTTCCTTGTTGCTTGATGAACAAGGAAGCATCACACTTGCTTTGTTTGAAGCCGATTCGGGTGGCAAATTGAGCAAATCTTTGGTACCAAGCACGAGGAGCTTGTTTAAGGCCATATAGTGACTTTTGTAGAAGGCAGACATGGTCAGGTTTGTCAGGATCAACGAAGCCTGGAGGCTGGTGCATGTACACCACTTCATCTAAAGTACCATTGAGAAATGCGTTCTTGACGTCGAGTTGATGGATGGGCCAGTCCCGAGATGTAGCAACATGTAACACCGTCCGAATTGTTGCAGGTTTGACAACCGGGCTGAACGTCTCATAACAATCAATCCCGACCTCTTGTGACTTGCCATTTGCAATGAGTCTGGCCTTGTATCTTGATAGTCGACCACCTGCATCAAACTTATGTCGAAACAACCACATATAATTCACAATGTTAGCATTTAAGGGTCGTGGGACAAGTTTCCATGTCCCACTTTTTATTTGAGCATCATATTCAGTTCCCATGGCGCCATTCCAGTGAGGGTCTTTGGAAGCTTGAACATGAGAACGAGGGAGCGGAGAGATAATGTCGGTGTGAAGAGAGAAGATAATTTTCTTTTTCGAGATACCGCTGCGGCTGCGGGTTTGATAGCGAGGAGGAGCAGGGGCAGGCGGAGGAGCAGGAGCCGCTTCCGGAGAAGGTGTGAAGAGAGCTGATGCCGGGGGAGGAGGATTAGGAGCCGGAGTCTCCGTGACGGGGTCATGGTGGAGATTATGAAGAATTGAAAAAGGAAAAGAAGAAGATGGTGGTGGAGAAGAAGTTTGAGAGAGAGGAGCTTTGTTAAACGGAAAAGAGGATTCATCGAAGACGACGTGGCGAGACAATATGTTTTTGTTTGTGCTCAAGTCAAGACAGCGGTAACCACGGTGGTTAGAAGGATAGCCTAAAAAGACACATTTAGCAGAACGAGGAGCTAGTTTGTGAGCTGAAGTGGGTAAAAGATTTGGGTAGCAGAGGCAGCCAAAAACACGGAGGTGATCATAAGAGACAGGTTTTTGAAAAAGTTTTGAAAAAGGAGTGTCATTGTCGATTGTGGAGGAGGGAAGAATGTTAAACAAATGGCAAGCCATGTGGAGAGCTTCGACCCAATACGTGGAAGGCATGTGAGCGTGAAAAAGAAGAGACCGAATGAGATTGTTTAATGTTCGGAGAGTACGCTCAGGTCTTCCGTTTTGTTGGGAAGTGTGAGGACAAGAAAACCTAGATTGAATGCCTTGAGAAGAAAGAAAAGATTGAAAATCACGGCTGGTGTATTCACCCCCGTTGTCACATTGTAAAGCTTTAATAGATTTTTGAAATTGCGTTTTGACAAAAGTATGAAAATCGATGAATTTGGAAAACACTTCGCTCTTTTGACGTAACGGATAAACCCAAAGAAAATGACTAAATTGATCCAAAAAAATAACATAATATTTTATTCCGCTAACACTGGGAACCGGAGAGGTCCATATGTCGGAATGAATAATGTCAAAAGGAGAAATCGCATGAGAAGAAGAGCTTGAAAAAGGAAGCCGAGTATGTTTTCCCAATTGGCAAGCATGGCACAATGGAAAAGCATCCGGTTTGCTACAATTTAAAAAACCAGAAGATGATAAAGAACGAAGAGTGGAGTTGCCAGGGTGGCCTAAACGACAATGCCACACTTTGGCTCCGATAGTGTTGGTGATGAGCGCTTGATGAGAGGAAGGAGATTTGATGGAGTACAGCGGACCTTTGCTGTCACATCGGATTATAGGCACTCGGGTGCGAAGGTCCTTAATAAGAAAACCAAGAGGGTCAAATTCAACAGAGCAAGAGTTATCTTTAGTAAATTGACGAACAGAGACTAGATTCTTTAAAATTCCAGGGCATAGTAAAACATTTTGGAGATATAAAGGACGAGAGGAAGTGGGGAACGAGGTGAAACCTTTTCAGGAAGAGATGAGCCATTACCAACTGTGACAATAGGAAGAGAAGAAGAAGAAGAGTTTTGGGTAAGAGAGAGTGCACCTGGTTGAGAGGTAAGGTGAGCCGTGGCACCGGTATCCATGTACCATCCATGATCAGCAGGATCTTGGTAAGTCATGCTATTGAATGCAGAGGCAAGAGCAGTGGGGATGGCTTCAGATTGTGAAGGTTGCACAGTCTGAGCAACGTACGCCGTATTTTGGCGTTGAGGAGACGGCCCGAGAAGTCCCGCCGCTGGAGGTGGAGTGTATTGTTGATGTGGATATGGTGGTCGATTGTATGGAGGTGGGAATTGAGGCTGCATCGGCCAATTCCGATTGTAGTGTGGCTGCTGTTGTGGCCAATTCTGCTGTTGTTGTGGCCAAGACCATGATTGCCGAGGGTTCCAGTTCTGATTGTAGTTGTTACGTCCTCTGCCTTGACGACCACGATTGCCTCGATGGTTACGATTGCCTCTGTAGTTGTTATTGTAGTTGCGTTGATTGTCGAAGTCTGATTGTTGCTCTCGTTGAGAGTGGTTGCAACAAGGAGCTGGGGTGCTGAGGCATTGTCAACGTGAGGTGAATCGTGGTGACGTTTTGTTTTGAGGCGAGTTTCTTCATCGATAAGAAACGATCGAGCATCGCTGAACGTACACGGTGGAGTGCGATGTTTGATAACGTTGATTATGTTATCAAACTTTGAACTTAGACCGTTTAGAAGATGTATAACCAGCACACGCTCCGTCACCGGAGAGTCAACATTGGCGAGCGTATCCGAGATCTTCTTCAGCTTTTGACAGTAATCGTGCACCGGAAGATCACCAATCGTGAGATTACGGAGCTCATTTTCGAGCTGAATCGCACGTGCCTCTTTGTTGTCTCGGAAAAGATTTTCGAGGGTTTGCCAAAGTTCACGAGCAGAGCATTGAGCCTTCAAAACAGAGTTGAGGAGAGATTCAGAGATAGTGCCGTAGATCCACATCTTGACAGTGTTATCGAGTTGTTGCCAATTGGTGTCAGCATCATCGGTGGGTAGAGAAGTTCCGTCCAGATGACCGGTTACGGAGAAGCTACGACAGTGGGTTTCAAAGAGGATACGCCAGCCGTCGTAGTTCATCTTACTCATGTTAAGGATGACAGGAATATGCACACGGATCTGGGTGAGACTAGCAGCAGTAGGCGTAGCAGTAGCCATTAGTGAGGTGAAGAGAAAGACTAGAAGAGAGCAAAGAAAACAGAGAAGAAAAGAAAGAAAAACAGAGTGAGAAAGAGGACAGAGAAAGAGCTTTGGTGGCGGAGAAAAGAAAAAGAATTTTAGGTTTTTAGGAAGAAAGCTCTGATACCATGTTGAATGGTCCGAAGCACAATCGATGCCCTTTCCCTGTGATATTGTATTGACTTATAAAGAGTACAAGAGATCAATCTACATAATTGAGGATTATACACATTCCTGATTTATCGATCGTATCATTGACTTTCCTAATCTAACACAAACGTGGTTTTATATAAGTACTGTAAAAGTAATGAACACTCCGGGAAAAAAAAAAAAAAAGACGAGAGAAAAAGGTAAACGATTTGTGGTTTACCATTAACGAACCTGCGTTGAATCACCAGACAGATTTTGTTTCATTAAAATGAAAAAATATATTCGTAATCTCTATAAAAGAAATGAGAAGTATCATTTGATTCACCGTTGTAAATTCATTTTTCTCTAGAATCTTCTTTGAGCTGGTGAAGAGAAGTGGAGTGAGACTGTTGTTGTCTTGTTGAACTAGGCTTTGTGGGAATCGAGTTTGAGAAAGTTGTTTACAAGGAGATGATGAAACTTGTTGTGACTGCTGAATAAAAGAAATAGCAATTTGTTGTGAAGCTGATTTTTTTTTTTTTTTTTTTTCTAATGTGAGTTTTAGAGTAGTTTAATTTTCCGGGAACAGTTGTCGGAATTCCATGTGAGTCGCCGGCAAAGCAAAATGGGGAGGTTAGTAGTTTAATGGACTTCAGAAAACAGTTGTTCAAAATTTTCGTGGCCCATTAAAATTCAATATTTATAATTTAAGCCCATAACTGAATTATGCCTTTGTATGAACTTTGAGCACAAACCTTAGCGATTACGTCTCAAGTAATTTCATTTGAGTCGTCAATGGAATTGATAAACTAGAAATAGTCATTTTCTCTACTGCAAATTATCAGTGATGAAGATTGTAATATAAAGGATTCGAAATCCAGAGGACCAGCGTTACACTGTGAAACTACGAGATTTAAAACAGAGCTAAGACAAAGATTGATTGGTTTTAGTAGCAGGTAACGAATGTAAACGATGATGTAATTCAATTAAACAGGGACTAGACCAAGGCAATTCGCAGGGATACACAGTTAACAACCGAACAACTATTCAGGGCACAGATGATGAACAGGTCTCGAACTCAAACATGAAAATATGTCAATTCACTTTCGCGATAATGATAACTTTATCTAACAACCTAGATGTCTAAACTGTCGTTTGAATCTAGCAGTTGATGACAAGCAATAAACTCAGGTTCGATAAGTTCACGAATCGCCTCAGCATCAACTTTCGCAGGCTAAGGACGATTCGCTCACCACAGTTCGTTCTAACAACCTATAACACTTTTGATGAACAGGTAATCTGAGATCAGAGATCGAATGATCAGATCGATCTAAGCAGTAATGCAACAATGGCGAAGACAGTATTAAAGCCCTATCTGTATTCAGTCAATTAACATATGAATCCCTTTGAAAAGCCTAGATCTAGCAAGATGACTACTCAGACATGGTGAAACAGCAAACAAATACTGAACTGAATGTCATTGAATCAAAATAAGAAAATAGCAAAACAAGGGTTCAGAAATCTTCTCCAAACTGTGAATAACAAGGTTTGATCTCTTCTCCCTCGGAAACAATGAACAACAGTGTAAAAACTCTGAAAAACGGCGTAGCCTAAACAATGGCTAAAGATAGGTCTAAATAGCTCCGGGGTCGACTTCGGTTCAATCCGGTTCGCTGTGGTTCGATCGAGTCGGTTTGCACCAAGTAGATCGAACGGCTGTGATGTCATCTGAGCGGGGTTGATCGAACGGCTGAGATAGAACGGGATCGATCGAGCTTGCTCGCTCTGCATGGGATCGATCGAGCTTGCTTCTGCGAATGGGATCGATCGGCTGCCTCTCCATGCATGCACTCGATCGACCCTGTACGGATGAATGGGATCGATCGAGCTTGGTCTGGTACAGGTTCGATCGACCTTGTGTGGACTCGATCGAGCTCCTTCTGCTCCGTTTTGCCTGCTTTCTCCCCTTGTTGGTCCATGTGACCAAAGCTCTCTGTAACGTCTTTAGACCTGAAAAGACTCGATAAAGACTAGAAAGACTCGATAAAACTCGTGAAAACAAGTGTTAGAATGCGTCAAATACGCAAGATATCAGGAATCAAACCTAAATCCGTGGCTTCCCGATGATTTGCTATTGAGCTGCTTGGCACGTGTCTCTAGATTGTATTATCCGACTCTCTCTCTCTTGTCTCCAAGCGCTTTCGATCTCTCCTTGCTTCACCGGAGATTTACAAGGCCCGGTCACTCTTGGGCCATACCGAGACGTGTCTCTATGTTGTCTTTGAGTCAAATCCTCATCCTCTCTGGTATACCCTATGCCTGAAACCTAATCAAACCCTAACGGATGACACGGGTGAGAAGAAGAAGAAGTCAAGTGGGTATGTTTTGGCTAGGGTCCCAATTCCAAGCTCTCCTCATGTGCGCTTTCCGGGTCTCGTGGCGGTTGGTTATAATATCTATAGTATTGAAGAAGAGCCCTACTACGGAAAAAAGGAAGAACGCTCCTCCTCTGACGTCTGGATTCTAGATTGCCGGACTCACACGTGGTGCGAGGCTCCAAGCTTGCCGGTGAAGCTATTGTCACTCTCTGCTAGCTTTCTTGATGGAAAGATATATGTAGCAGGAAATAGCTATTCTTCGGGTTCCTTGAAGAACACAATTGAGGTTTTCGACATAAAAACACAGATTTGGGACACTGAGAGCATCCCTTTGAGCGAGACAGAATACAATTCTAATAACTCGAGAAGCACATGTATTGATGGAAAGTTCCACGTTATGAAGACTATCACAAAGGGTGTTGCTTACAATTCTAAGGAAAGTAGCTGGGACTTGATTGGACGAGAGATGGGTGATTTTCTGTTTCATGGTTCTTATTGCAAGATAGAAAATGTTATGTACTCTCTTACTTTTAACGGAGTATTGAAGTGGTATGACACTGAGGTAAGCTTGTGGAGATGTTTGAAGGGTTTGGTAGGACTACCTAATTTCCCAAAATATGGCGTTTATCTTAGATTGGCTAATTATGGTGGAAAGATGGTGGTTTTGTGGGAAGTCAAGATAGAGAATGATCCGTATGATCTGAGGCACGATGGCTGCGGCTATAAGAAGATTTGGTGTGCGGTGATTGCGCTTGAAAGACGGCAAAAAGGACGTGAGATTTCGGGGACAGTTGAGTGGGTTAAAAATGTGCTCACAGTCCCAAAATCATGTTATCTCGTGAAGGTTCTTGATGTTACTGTTTGATGATTGCTTTATCTTTTGTTTCACTTCTAGTCAGTTGATTTTTTTTTTTCACTTTTTGATTAATGTTTAACTTATTCTGTGTATCTTTGAAGATCGTTTTGTGTTTGAATAGACTGAGTTCTCTTTACTTTATTCGTGAAAAGAAAGTAACACACTCTGCTGAGTATTTGATGATTGTTTATTACTTTAGTGGTTAAAATTTGCAGCAGAATGAGGTTTTGTAGTTAGGATCAATAAGCATTTGTTCACATATAATCATATCGTTTCTCAAAAACTGGGTTTTGTGTTTTTAATTGTTTCTATGGGCAACAATATTCGAACTTGTGAACTGTGAAGCTTTGTGAAGACTTCTAATCATATTTTATGGGGTGTAACGATTTGTAGATATCTCTATATGAAATCTGAATGCATGATCTCTATATAAATGTATGTATTAGTAGTATTAATTAAGTATGCTTCATTCTTATGAACACTATAATGACTTCTTTCCCAAGATCACGACTACACGTGATCTTTTAATTAACTCTATTTGATTTGTTGTTGAAAATAAAACATATACTGTATCACCAATATATAATAATGTTAGAAAGTATCACAGAACAAATGTGGTTTTATATGTATAAGTAAAAGTCAATGAACACTCCGAAGCAAAAAAATATAAATAATAATAAAAAGATAAAGAGAAAAAGGTATACGATTTGTGGTTTACCATTGACGAACCTGCGTTGAATCACCAGACATATTTTGTTTCATCAATATGACAAAATGTATCCGTAATCCAAAAAAAAAAGAAAAATATCATTTGATTCACTGTTGTAAATTCATTTTTCTCTATAATCTTCTTTGAGCTGAAGAGAAGTAGTGTGAGACTGCTGTTTAATCAATGTGTGTGTGGAGTTGAATCAATTTGTTTGATTTTTTTTTGGATTACGGATACATTTTGTCATATTGATGAAACAAAATATGTCTGGTGATTCAACGCAGGTTCGTCAATGGTAAACCACAAATTCAATTTGTTTGATACTCCTCTTGCTTTCTAATAAGTGACATTTTAGAGAATTTGTTTTGTTTATTAATAAATGGTTTTTTCTAGGGGTGTTTCAATTTGGTAAAACCGAACCGACCCGAACCGAACCGAACCGAAATAAGTCATATGGTTTGGATTTGGATACACTGTATAAACCGTATGGATGCAATTTTATATAAACCGTGGATATTGATATGGTTTGGATATTAACCGACCGAACCGCAAAAACCGCAAAAAACCGAATAACTTTATATATATTAAATTACTCATATAATAATATAAGTTTAGAGTAATAAATCATTAATTAACTAAAATTTAACAATTAAGAAACACTAAATAAAAAACCTAGATAAAGCGATCTTCCTCTTCTCATACAACAATATTATTATAGCAATTGTCTTCTTCTTCGTTAATCTTTTCTCTTACCCTAGACGTGAACTAAAGGTATCGTATGCCTTAAACAAGTTTTCTCCGTTTGTTCTACTTCTTTGTTTCATAAGTTAACTGATTTTCTTTTAATACTTATTCACTTGTAGATGAGCAAAAGGAATAAGACATGAGTTTGCATTTTTTATTTGAATTTGATCATTTTGATTATGAGAAAAATCGAAAACCCTAATTAATAAAATAATCATAAAACAAAAAATACAAATTAACCGAAAACCGAGATTATTCGACCCGAAAATATCCAAACCGCAAAAACCGAATCCAAACCGAACCAAACCGAAGTAAGTATGGATCTACTATGGTAGCTATTTTTTATTAACCGAAAAACCAAATACCGAAAAAACCGAACCGAAACCGAACCGATATCCGGATTGAACACCCCTAGTTTTTTCACAAATAAATACAAAAATTAATGTATTTTTGTTGTTTTAACTATTTGAATTCTACATATTGTTTGTTTTTTTATTTGTTGAGATTTAAGATCGATTGATCTAACTAATTTGGATTCGATCTATGAATGCAGAAAAGTAAAAGATACAAAGTTTTTGTTTACCCAGTGTTCGTTTCCTATTCATTGGGGGGAGAAAACACGTCTCCCGTCGTTTCACTATTGTCGGAAACGTTTACGTGGCGACTCCGACTTACCGGAAATCGCCTCACATCGTTACAATCTCACTCAAAAGCTCAAATCTCTCTAGAGGTGTATCTCTCTAGCCTTAGATTCTCTCGCTTCCTCGCTCTGTAACAACCTCTCTCTCCTCTGTTTCTTGTTGCAGGCCTTTAAAACGGAGAAGAAGAAGACGTTGACTCCGATGATGTGTCAGTCTTCAGCTGGAGATGGGCTTCAACTTTGTACAGGCCCATAACGGAGTTGGAGGGAATGGGCTTGAGCCCATTAGGTGTTTAACCGAACTCGATTCAAATTATTATTAGTTGAATTGTGTTGTAGTTGATGATAAAATTTTTTTTTTTTTTTTTTTAATGATTTCTTAATCTGGTCACTTATCAGAGAAAAGAGAGGGAGTACATTTTAAATTCATTTGTCTCTGTGGGGAGTTGAGTTCGAGAAAGTTGATAGGAAGAAGATGATGAAACTTGTTGTGTCTGATTTGTTTGTAAACTTTTTTTTTTTGGTTTTAGAGTAGTTTAATTTCCCGGGAACAGCTGCTGGAGTTCTATGTGAGTCGCCGGCAAAGCAAAATCGGACGGTGGAGCAGTTTAATGAACTTTAGAAAAGTCTCTTGTTCAAAATTTCAAATTTACATTAAATTCCAGTATTTATAAATTAAGCCCGTAAATGAATTATGCCTTTGTATACTATAAATTAGGTTTGTTGTTTTAACTTTTAAGCACACACCTTTTTTTCTCGTTAAAGGGTAAGCACAGACCTTAGCGATTACGTCTCAATATTTTATAATATTTTCTCTGAAGAAGAAGGATCCAGAGCCGTCGATGCCGGTGCAATCAACCCCAAATCCGTGGCTTCCCGATGATTTGCTATTGCTCTGCTTTGCATGCGTCTCTAGATTGAACTATCTCACTCTCTCCCTCGTCTCCAAGCGTTTTCGATCTCTCCTTGCTTCACCTGTTCTTTACAAGAACCGGTCACTCTTGGGCCGTACCGAGACTTGTCTCTATGTGCTCTTTGAGTCCAGTTCTCGTTATGACTGGTATACCCTATGCCTGAAACCTAATGAAACCCTAACTTGTGACACAAGCGAGGATAAGAAGAAGAAGAAGAAGAAGAAGAAAAAGAAGAAGAAAAAGAAGAAGAAGAAGTCAAGTGGGTATGTTTTGGCTAGAGTCCCAATTCCAAGCTCTCCTCGTGTGCGCTTTCCGGGTCTCGTGGCGGTTGGTTCTAATATCTACGGGATTGAAGAGGGCTCCTCTAACGTCTCTATTCTAGATTGTCGGTCTCAGACGTGGTGCGAGGCTCCAAGTTTGCCGGTGAAGCTATCATCACTTTCCGCTAGCTTTCTTGATGGAAAGATATATGTAGCAGGAAGTAGCTACAAAGACGGAGATTCTGGTTCCTTAAAGAACACGTTTGAGGTTTTCGACACAAAAACACAGATTTGGGACCCTGAGAGCATCGACCCTTGCAGCGAGATACAATGCAAATTTATTAACTCGAGAAGCACATGTATTGACGGAAAGTTCCACGTGATGCAGTATGGCGTAGAGGGGGTTGTTTACAACTCTAAGGAAAGTGGATGGGACTTGATTGGACCACAGATGGGTAATTATATGATTTGGTATTCTTATTGCGTGATAGAGAATGTTATGTACTTTTTTTTATACGGAGTGTTGAGTTGGTATGACACTGAGGTAAGCAAGTGGATAAGTTTGAAGGGTTTGGATGGACTACCTAAGCTCCCTAGTTTTTTTGGCGCTCCTGTTAGATTGTCTGATTATGGTGGAAAGATGGTGGTTTTGTGGAAAGAGAATCATTATAAATTGAGGCGAAGTGACGGCCATGGGAAGATTTGGTGTGCGGAGATTGCGCTTGAAAGACGGCAAAAAGGAGGTGAGATTTGGGGGAATGTTGAGTGGTTCGATCATGTGCTCACAGTCCCACAATCATGTAGTCTCGTCAAGGTTCTTGCTGTTACTGTTTGATGAATGACTTTGTCTTTTGTTTCACTTCTACTCAATTGATTTTTTTTTTCACTTTTTGATTAATGTTAAACTTATATATCTTTCACTTCACTATTTGATGATTAAAAAGCATTCGTTCATATACTTCATATCATCACATCCTTGCTCCAAATTTGTGTTGTGTTTTTGGTTGTATCCATGGGAAATATTCGAACTTAACTTGTGAGGCTTTGTGAAGATTTCTAATCGTATTTTTATGGGGTGCGTACGATTTGTATGCATCTCTATATATTCGCATTACCTCTATATATATATATATGTATGTATGACTATTAGTATGCTTCATTCTTATGAACACTGTAACATGTTCAGAGTAGTATGCATCTCCATATGAATGCATTACCTATATATATATATATATATATATGGATGTATGACTATTAGTATGCTTCATACTTATGAACACTGTAACATGTTCAGAGTAGTTCGGAAGAAGATGATGAAACTTGTTGTGTCTGATAATGATATTGCTGAATAGCGATTTGTTGTGAATTTTTCTTTAGCTGTAGAGTAGTTTAATTTGCCGGCAATGCGAAATCGGAGGTGAGCAGTTAAATGGACTTTATAAACTCTCTTGTTCAAATATATTGAGCCAAACTCTGTATTTACAAATTAAGCCCATAATTTAATTATAACTTCGTACAGTTTGGCCCAACCTAGACTTTCTTAATTCCCTAGGGTTTCTTGGTTTTATGCACAATAACAAACCTTAGCGATTACGTCTCAATAATTTATTATGTCTTCTCTGGAGAAGAACTGAAGAAGAAGGAGCCAGAGCCGTTCGTTGTCGATGGAATGGCTTCCGGATGGTGTGCTATTGAGCTGCTTCGCACGCGTCTCTAGATTGTATTATCCGACTCTCTCCCTCGTCTCCAAACGCTTTCGATCTCTCCTTGCTTCACCGGAGATTCACAAGGCCCGGTCACTCTTGGCCCATACCGAGACTTGTCTCTATGTGTTCTTCGAGTCCTATCCTCGTTCTCATTGGTATACCCTATGCCTGAAACCTAATCAAACCCTACCAAATGACACCTATGAATCAAACTTCTTCCGTAGCTATTATACCCAAACGCCAAAGAAGAAGTCAAGTGGGTATGTTTTGGCTAGGGTCCCAATTCCAAGCTCTCCTCATGTGCGCTTTCCGGGTCTCGTGGCGGTTGGTTATATTATCTACGGAATTGAAGAGATCTCCTACTTTTCAAAAAAGGAAGATAGCTACTCTGACGTGTGGATTCTAGATTGCCGGACTCACACGTGGTGCGAGGCTCCAAGCTTGCCGGTAAAGCTATCGCCACTTTCTGCTAGCTTTCTTGATGGAAAGATATATGTAGCAGGAAGTAGCTACTAGCTACATAGAAGGAGATTCTGGCTTTGGGAAAAAAAAAAAAAGAGGGCGATTCTGGCTTTGGTCAGAAAAAAGAAGAGGGCGATTCTGGTTCTTTGAAGAACACATTTGAGGTTTTCGAAACAAAAACACAGATTTGGGACACTGAGAGCATCACTTTGAGCGAGACAGAATACAATTCTTATAACTCGATAAGCACATGTATTGATGGAAAGTTCCACGTTATGAAGACTGGGACAAAGGGGGTTGCTTACAATTCCAAGGAAAGTAGCTGGGACTTGATTGGACGAGAGATGGGTGATTTTCTGATTTATCATTCTTATTGCAAGATAGAGACTGTTATGTACTCTCTTGGTTCTGACCGAGAATTAAAATGGTAAGACACTGAGAAAAGCTTGTGGAGATGTTTGAAGGGTTTGGTAGGACTACCTTACTTCACAATATCTGGCGCTCGTATTAGATTGGCTGATTATGGTGGAAAGATGGTGATTTTGTGGGAAGGCGAGATACAGGATGATCCGTATGATTTAAGGTACGGTGGTGGCTATAAGAATATTTGGTGTGCCGAGATTGCGCTTGAAAGACGGATAAGTGAACGTGAGATTTGGGGGACAGTTGAGTGGTTTGATCATGTCCTCACAGTCCCAAAAGCATGTTATCTCGTGAAGGTTCTTGATGTTACTGTTTGATGAATGATTTTTTTTCGGGAGAATTTCCACATATAACCCGAAATTTGCTTTTTTCTATAACCATAACCCGAAACTTGAAAGTATTGCCAAACTAACCTGTTTGGGTAGCGAAATTACAAAGGTCACCCTCATGAGCAAACAAAAAAAATTTGCCGCGATTACCAAATTAACCCGGAGCGTAGGTCTACGCTTGCTGTCTACATATAGACTTTTATAGTCGGTCTACCTTGTATTTTAATTTTATATTTTAATTGGGAAAAACAAAAAAAATATTTTGATGAAACCATTTGCATACATAAATCACAAATAGTAATTTGCATCTTGGAAAATTATAATTGCATACAAATGAGTCAAATTAAACTAACATAGGCAAATTAGTTTGGAAAGCTGTAAAAACATAAGAGGTCTACAGATGAGGTCTACGGTTTAATTAAATGAAACTTTTAATTTATAAAATAAATAGAAAATATTTAGATGAAAAATTTGTATTCATAACCCGAAACTTGAAAGTATTGCAAAACTAACCTGTTTGGGTAGCGAAATTACAAAGGTCACCCTCATGAGCAAACAAAAAAAATTTGCCGCGATTACCAAATTAACCCGGAGCGTAGGTCTACGCTTGCTGTCTACATATAGACTTTTATAGTCGGTCTACCTTGTATTTTAATTTTATATTTTAATTGGGAAAAAAAAAAAAATTTTGATGAAACCATTTGCATACATAAATCATAAATAGTAATTTGCATCTTGGAAAATTATAATTGCATACAAATGAGTCAAATTAAACTAACATAGGCAAATTAGTTTGGAAAGCTGTAAAAACGTAAGAGGTCTACGGATGAGGTCTACGGTTTAATTAAATGAAACTTTTAATTTATAAAATAAATAGAAAATATTTAGATGAAAAATTTGTATTCATAAACAAGACAAAGACAATTAGAGTCCATATAAAATAAACATACATGTTAATAAGTGAATTTAGGTTGACAAAAACAAATTAGGTTAGAAACTTGCAAAACCGTGAGAGGTCTAGCAACGAGGTCTACAGGAAAATGAAATCTTAAAAATAATTTTTAAAATTGATAAAAAATAATTTGATAAAAAACTTGTATGCATAATTAATTCTTATACATTTGACATCTATTGAAAATAAATTATACGAAAAATGAATCAGTCTATAAATGTCATGAGTAAATGTTTCAAATTGATAAGAGTTTGGATAGATAGTTTAGGGTTTAGTTGTCCAATTCTTAGGGTTTAGATAGTTTCAATTTGTATTTTTGTTTTTGGTTGGTTTTTTTTCTATATTTAATTGTTTTGTTATCCAAACCATAAATATTGTAAATGGCAAACAAAATTTGATATTTGGTTCATGTTTTTTATAAAATTTGTGGTTTAGGGTTATGTAGACCTCAGTTGTAGACCGCGAAAACAAACAAATGGGGAATTTCAAAAAAATTAAAAGGAACCGAGCGGGAATTATGAGCGCGAACCAAAATTTCAAATTATCTTAGACCGCAGCTCCCTCGGGTGTATAAATAGAGATGTAAACCGTAATTTTTAATTTTCTAGAAATAAATTATTTGGTCCCCGCCGCTCATCCTTCCGCCGCTCATCCTTCCGCTGCTCATCCTCCGGCCGCTGTTCTCATCCGTCTTCTTTGCCGCCGTCGACAGTATCAAGTGTTCCGGCGATCGTATTGGTTAGGTTTGCTTCTATTTCATTTTGTGGGTGAGATCTGGTCATTGAATAATTACTGTTTTTTAAAATAACTGATATCTTCTCATCGTACACAGGAATGGGGCGCTTTAGCTGGTTAACGGAGGGTTCGAGTAGCTCTGACCAGCTGGCTACTCGAAGCTCTGCTAGGGTAGTCAGTAAGGACGAAGAAGATGTGAGTTCTCATACCAGTCGAGATATAAGCTATGGAATACCGAGCAGATGCTACTGCGGTTCGTTAACTCCGCTGAAAATGATGGACCATACGGACAAGCATCCAGGGCGGATGTTTTTTGGATGCAAGAATTATAAGGTAATGTTAACTGTAAATAGTTTTCGACATCTTAAGTGGCTTTGTTTTACCAAAAATATTGAAGAGATTCGTTTTTTTTCATCATTGTAGCTTGGTTTCCCACATCTTATGAAATGGTGGGACGAGGCTATGATGGAGGAGTTTCTACAACTCGAATGGAAAAATTAGTCGAGTATAGTTAAACCGATTCAGTTAATTCGAACCGAAGAAAACCAAGTTAAACCATTTAACCGACATATATATACGGAAAACCGCTGTGGTAAGCCTCATTCGTAACCCTAATCTGTGTCTGACCTTTCGCTCTCTGCTAGAGGCGATTTCGTTGTCTCCGCCGAATACACAACCGCCGTCTCCACCGATTACACAACCCGCTGTCTCCGCCGATTACACAACCCGCTGTCTCCGCCGCTTACAGAACCCGCTGCCGCCGGTAAGTTCTTCATTCTAGTGAAATTCTAACTACTTTAAGTTTATTTCCCACTGAGAGTTCTTTGGCGTTTGCATGTGGTGGTTTAATCCGTAATCCTTACTCCTTACTCCGCCGCGGTCTAATCCTTAATCCTTAATACTTCACCCCCGTAAGTCTCGTTTCCGACATTGATTTCACGGGTAATTTTGATTGAAAAATTGCTATTATTACGAAACTCGATATGGTAATACTCCTTCTGTTTAAAAAACTGTATCAGGTTTCCAGATCTTCGTTGGCGTTAGGCGTTGGGATTTCGCGAACAACAGGTATCTTAAAACCGTTTTTTAATGTTGTATTGTAGACCGCTGTCGTAGCCCTCAGTGATAGCCCTCAGTCATAGCCATCATACTTAGACTGTAGTTGATAAGTAAATGTAGACCTCGAGCTTAGACCTCCTTGGTAGACCTCAACTGATTGGACTTAATAGCTTCTACTCTTTTTGTAGGATGTCAAAGCCGACATTCCCCAGGAGATTCTACACCAAAGGAGGCGATCCGGACGCAGGGAAAAGCATTTCCAGGTGTAGCAAGAACACCAAGCTCTTCGATAGTCTCCGAAAGCTCCTCACCGACGACGAATGGAATGAAATCAGTGACTCCAGGATTGGTATCTTCCTAAAGTTCCGTGACCTTCAATTCGAGTGGGCTTCACGGATTGCGCATGCCATGCTCTGTTTCCAGGTTGTATGCAAGAAGAAGTATGAGATATGGAGCGCTGTGGGGGCAAATCCGATAAGATTCTCATTGCACGAGTTCTCAGCCATCACCGGCCTCAACTGCGAGTATGTTGAGAACCTAGAGACACCTGATGCTCCAGCAACGGATGCCGTGTGCGAGTTCTGGGAGAGGTTGGGTGTCAACGTCGAGGTAGGGCCTAGCATTGACCAGCTGGCTGAAGCTTGTGAGTGGGCAGGCGAGTGGCCAAGGGAGGATAAGCTTAGATTGGGCTACCTAGCCATATACGCAGGCTTCATTCAGGCCCGTAGATCCGCTGCCGAGACACCTGTCAAGCTAGCTAGGCTTGTGTTGGATTTGGAGAAGTTTGAGGAATACCCGTGGGGCCGAGTTTGTTTCTTGCAGCTCATCAAGTCCATTAAAGGAGTGGATTTGGAGAAGTCGGGTTATGTGCTGGAGGGTTTCATCGAGGTTCTCCAAATTTGGGCTTTTGAGAGCATGCCGAATTTTGCAGAGAAATACGGTGCTCCTCTGCCATCTAAACCATCACCACCGCTCCTTGCGTACAAGGGTATTCAAGGCAAAAGGTACATCGCGGAGGCAATGCTGAAGCAGGTAAACATAAATCTGAGAATCGAGTAATTGCTGGCAAGTAGTAGTTAGTAGATAGACCTGGACTCATTTTGTTTTGTTTTTGCAGGTTGTTTTTAAAAACTGTGAGCTAGTCGATAGGGAAGAAGTTTATCCACGCTGGGATGATGATGTAGAAGATTTGTACGTCGACAACATCATCAAGGCAATCTACGGGGAGTTAGGTGGTCGGTGGAGGTGGAAGCCAAGCGACTGGGACGAGGAAGGTGTCTTGGTCTCCAATCACCCGCGAGTGGACGTGAAGCCTCCAATAAAAGTGGAGGCTAGTTTCACAGATTCGAAGAAGAGACCTCGTCCTACTCCTCCATCGAACTATGATGATATCGAGGAGACGATTGCAGAGGTTGATTTCTGACTGCACCCGGACCTTGTCTGCTGATCTGAAGGCAGGGTTCCAGATGTATGACCGGCAACTAGCTGCACTTACCTCGACAGTTGCTGGTGGAGCGTAGTGTGAAGCAGCTGATGGATGTAAGGCTTCAGGAGCAGCGTAGATCCGACGATCCCTCTCCCAAAAAAGATGAGACCGGCGCCGGTGAAGATGTGACCGGCGCCAAAGAAGCTAAAACTGCTCAACCGGTTAGTACTGATCCCTCTCCCAAATCTCCCAACTCTTCTAAAGTGCAAGATAAGCGTAAAGTGCAAGTTAAGCGTAAAGTGCAACTTAAGCCTGACCAGGATAGGGTCCTTCGACCTAGAAAATTGAAGACCAAGTAGAGCCCAATCCGTTGTTTTTTTCAATCTATAAACATAAACTTGTCACGTTTTTCTTTCCTTGCAAATCATGTGTGTAATTTTAATGAACCTGTTTACTTGACTTACAATAAATGTTCCGAGAGTGTTTGTGCCTATTTGTTGTGGTCTGAATTGTTTTTCAAACTCAAATTGTCCTCAAATGCAGAACCAAAACGCCGGTCCATCAAACAGTGATAACCGGGACGACAGCAGCGTCGCATATGTTAAGACCTATGTGCCAAGCAAAGAAGAATGCCTAGCAGACATCAGGAAGAATCAGCGAAAGTTCAACGCGAAACTAATGGTCGTCAGGGCTAAGGATCAGAGGGAAAGGAAACTGGCCCCATCTCAAAAGTCTCCGTTCGTGGGAAACGTTACGGTTAAGGAGCTCATACGTAACAAGAAGCAGCGCTTAGCGGTCTACAATCCGTATCTGCCCGAAGACAAGAATGTTCGGAAGGAACTAACGGCGTTCCTGAAGTCTACAGCGTAAGTAACCCTCTGGAAAACTTCTTTATAATTCCGATTATTGTGATTAGTATACTAATTACACACTTTTGCTTTAGTGGGTATCCAAAGCTTGACAAGGATAAGTTTCCCGTGTGGTATTGGTGGTGGGAACTCATTACGCAGCCGCAATGGCTATCGGACTCGGTAAGCATTAGTACACCATTTAGAGAGGTCTACGTTTAGACCTCACGAGTAGACCTCTGTCATAATTCTCTTTTGTAGACCGCATATTGAGGTTTAGTGTAATTGTAATGTAATATTCAATCTTTTTCTTTTCATCAGCACATGGACGCGGTCATCAATCTGCTGCGGCTCAGAATGAAAGAACAACCGCACAGCTTTAGAAGTGACAGGCTTTGTCTCATCGATAGTGGTCTTAGTCTGTTTTGGACGGCAAAGTATGACGATTTCAAGAAGTCTGAGCCTAATGTCTTTGGACTTGGGAAGTACCTCCCACCTGACTCACTTGACTACTTCCAAGGCACGAAACCAGAATTCTGCCAGACGAATAAACGATGGTGCAGGGACATTGACGAGCTATATCTCCCGTTTAACATTGGGAAGAACCACTGGGTTGCTCTATTCATCTCCTTACCGAAGAGGCACATCACGATCTGGGATAGTTATCCCTGCCGTATGGACGATGAAGAACTGGCGATTATATTGCTCGTCTTGATAGATTCAGCAATGTTGCTCGTCTTGATGTTGTACCTATCACCGGGAAAATGTACTCTAGACCAAAGCTTAGGGTCGGCCAACTCCATGTATGCTGCGAGGTCTGGGTGCGCAGCTCTTAGTGAGTCCATGCACCGATTATATTCAGCTAGAGTGTGGGCATAAGCAGCTCCTTTAACCAGATACATAAGCTCCTTACCACCATATGTCTTGATAATATTTTGCTGAAGATGGTAGTAGCATATTCCTCTAGTGACCCATGGAAGCACATTCACACAAGCATTTTCAATGGACAATGCTCTGTCTGAAACAATGACCATCGGATGTGGTGAGAAACAAGTCTGTAATTTATCAAAAAACCATCCCCAAGACTCATTAGTCTCCGCATCAACAACACCATATGCTAGAGGAAATACTTGAAAGTTTGCATCTTGTCCACATGCCACGAGTAATGTGCCTCCGTATTTCCCAGTAAGGTGTGTTCCATCAACCACAATAACCCTCTTCAAGTACTGAAATCCCGCTGTTGAAGCCGCTAACGCCACAAAACAGTACTTGAAGCGATCTTCTTCATCACAGAGCAGGTGTGTTATAGTGCCAGGGTTTGCTTGCTTCAGTCTTCTAAGGTAGGAAGGAAGGTTAGCATATCCATCTTCTGGAGTTCCCCTGACAAATACTTGAGCGAATTTGAGAGCCCGGTATGACGTTGTATAGGTAAGATTCAGGCCAAACATGATCCTCATCGAATCTGCAATTTGTCGAGGGACAATTCCATCTATGAGTCCAGTCCGCTCCACAAACAATTGTCCAATATATCTTGGAGTAGCTCGTCTACGGTGAGCTACACGGTCCATAATTGAACAAGTGTGACCCTTTACGTACTTGGTAACCCAGAAGCAATCCGGTTCATTCTTCACAGCTGCTCTCAACTTCCATGCACATCCATTGACAACACATTTTGCCACAAACAAATCCGTAGTGGACTTGTAGACTTTAAATGCGAATCTTGCCATCACAGCCGTCAGTCGCAACTCAGAAAGAAGGGCTTCTTTAGAGGCATAGCTGTGATTTACCAGAATAGTGTCACACCAAGTGCCTGTGAACCCTCCATTTCCACCATTCCAAACACCTCTACGGAGCCTTTCACGGAAAGACAAACTCTCTTCACCCTCTTCCTCATCTTTCACCTTGCCATACTTACTATAATCTGCATCGATATCGTCGGGGTTGTCGACATCATCAGCACTATCATTGTCATGAGTATCATCAGATTCATCTTCTGAATTTACATCCCATGCTTTGTCATTCCAGTTTACATCATCAGACTCGTTATCATCCCAGCCTTCATCACCGAATTCTTCTTCCACGTCTTCTTTATCCACCTCTTCAGACTTTTCTTCTTGGACACACTCATGTATTGGTTCGTTGTAGTTCCTTCCCATACCAACGCGGGTCGAGACGCAAAGACGGACCACATGCTCCTTACATAACTCCACCAAGCTCCCAACTTGTCTGTCGTTCGTCACATACATAGGAGGTGAATCCGTTGGCAATTTCTCCATCATAGCAGCTGGTAATGGATATGACAACTCCAGCAGCTCGCCATTAACTTGCAACATGTAGTCGTTCACAACCATTTCAACCAGCTCTTCATGTTTACAATCATCCTGCAGGTAGAACATTCTACCTCCTCTCGTTTTATCAACCTCAAAATACCATTTTCTGTCTCTGATAGTCCACGCTCCATACACGGATGCCAAACAAACCATGATCTGCATGAAAACCAAAGGGAAAACACATTAATATATATTGATGGATGCCTGTAGACGGAAACGTTAGACCTCCACATTGGCTGCGGTCTACAGAGTTTAACCAAGTTACCAAATTTAACCAAAAATCTAATACAACCTTCATTACATAACATTAGCATGCAAAACTCTCATAGGGACAAGTTATTAGGCTAACAGAAGTATTTATGAAAAAAAATTAACAAAAACAATTATAAATTTCGCAGAAAATCGATTTTAAAAAACGGAAAAAATGTAGACCTCCAAACCAGATCTAGACGTAAACCTACTAAAGAGGTCTAAAAAAGGTTAGTTTTGCAATTGACCAAGGGAAGACTTTTTTGAGATCTACAAATGCGGTCTACAAAAAAAGAGGTTAGTTTTGCAATTCATCCAAAAAATTTGGGTAGACCTCACGAACAAAATAGACCTCAATGTAGTCTAGAAAATTATACGGTCTAGGGTCTACGAAATCTGTAGACCTCAGACAGGTTACTTTTGCAATTGTTTGAAATTTTTTTCCACCTGTAGACCACTATCGTAGACCTCCTATTATTTTGCGTTGACCAACTTTTTAAGGTAGACCTAAGACTGAGATCTAAAACCTATGTAGACCTCTGACGTAGACGTCAGCTTAAAATTTGTTGTTATAGACCACATTAAGAGGTCTAAGGTAAAAACCAGAACTTCAGTCAATTGCAAAACTAACCTCTTTGACCAATAGACCTCATCTGTAGACCTCAAAAAAAAAAGCCCTCCCTTGGTCAATTGCAAAACTAACATGTTTTCAAAATAGACCTCTGCTTGAGGTTTACGATATTTTTTTTGTTTTCAAAGGGATTATGTAGAACTCTCTACGCGGTCTAACTCCACAGATTTGTCTTAGTCAATTGCAAAACTAACCTCTGCGTTGACCTATAGACCTAACCCTGAGATCTACGATATCGACTCAGATCTGAAAAAACGAAAATGGAGTAAACCACAACCTGGCCGTCGTCTTTAGGGCCGCCGAGGGATGAAACTTTGTCTTTAAGCCTTCACAACCGTTCGGCGGTGGTGAGGAAAGCCACAAACCCGATTTTGAGAAAATCAAGAACTTGAAATATGAAAAAGTAGAATTAGAGAGTTTTTGGGATGAAAATGTGGAGAAAATGATAGTGTTAGAATGTATGGGATGTGCAATTATGTTTGGAGTATCACAATTACTAGTATCAAGCATTAAAAGCTTGAAGTTAGTTGAAAATGGTGGTTGAGTTCATTGATGAGAGTGGCAGTTTCGTGAATAAGTGTAGAGGATGAGGTTCTGTTGGTCTTCTGGTCGGATATCGTAGACCTCAGCCGTAGACCACCGGCCAAAAAAGTAATGGCATTTTCGTTATTATCTGGAAAAACAGGGTAAGCTAAAATGAAAAAAACAGCAGGTTACTTTTGCCATTGACTTCAAATTGTGGGTTAGAAGTGCAAGAATCCCTTTTTTTTTCTTTCATTTTTTGATTAATGTTAAACTTATTTTGTGGTCATATATATCTTTGAAGATCGTTTTGTGTTTAAATAGACTGAGTTCTCTTTACTTGATTCGTGAAAAGAGAACAACACACTTTGATCGCATTTTTTAATTTTCATCTTTGCATCTCGAAGACGAAATAATCAATTTCTAATATCAAATAGATGATTGAATCCAAAATGTGACTAAACCAAACTCATGAATCAAAAATTGAAGTTTTGGTTATGTATACTTAATTAAGAACAATAGTACAATAAAATTTAGAGATTAATGTAACTTCTCCAATGATCAGGACTGTATGCCTTACGAGAAAATGTTAGAAAAGTTTTATAATATGTTTTTAGTTATAAATAATCATAATAAATTTTTTTTATTACTGTCACTAATCATACAAGAATTAAAATGATTTATTAAAACTAAAAATTTAAAGAAATTTTTTTTAAAAAATTGTAAAGCATTAATATCACTGAACTCTTTAAAGAATTGAAAATTAGAAATTCATAAAAAAAAATTTCAACATAAAAACAGAACCTGCGCGTAGCGCAGATAAAATACCTAGTTTATCTAACGTCTCAGTATTTAAGCACAAAAATATCCTTTTACCAAAAAAAAAGAAAAAAATTATTTAAGCACGAATTGTACAAATCATGACCACGACTCCGTTTTTGAAATAATATTTTATATTTTATTGACGGCAAATTCTATAATTTTTGTGTAATACATCTATTTAATTTATTGTAAATTTTGTTTAGTCATTCAGTGAGGCCCATTAAAATTCAGTTTTTTTGTATTATTCATCTAACATCTCAGTATTTAAGCACAAAACACTAGCTGTTTTGTTATTTATTACCAATTGGCGATTTCGTCTCGTGCATTTACTTGTGCATTTATTAACAATTGGCTGTTTTGTTATTTATTAACAAATCTCTTGTGCATTTACTTTCCTGCAATTTAAACAACAATCGCATTAGAAAATCTATAATCTCAAAGCTAAAACTCAACAAGTGGTATCAGAGCTCCAAGGTTGGAGATGAGATTACTAATGGCGGTTATGCGGAGGAGGTAAAGGATTTTCTCACCTGGATTTGATCGCGGAGTTGTTACCGAGAAGGGATCTGATTGATCTGATCTCTTAAGGTTGATCGTTGGATCCTAAGTCTTCGCGGTCAAGGTTTTCTGGATTTCTTGTGTTGATCGGATTTTCTCGTCGGGTTTTTTCTGGTATTCTGGATTTTCTCTTGGTTTTCTCGTCGTGTTGATCTGCAAAATCAGTGTAGTTGTGTTCTATTAGTGAATCTACTATGGAACCTACACTGGGAAGATTTGAGATGGAGAAATTTACCGGGAAAGAGGATTTCGGGATGTGGAAATACAAGCTGCTTGGTCAGCTGGAGATCCAAGGTCTTGCATCGTCCTTGATGAAGATTTCTCGATCTACGTTAAATCTGAGAAAGCAGGAAGAAGGTGCATCACCAAGGAAAGATACAAAGAAAGCAGCACAGGATCTAAGGATGAGAAACTTACTTGGTACTTGCCTCAGTGATGTGATTTTGAGGAAAGTGATGGATTCACCAACATCTCGAGATATGTGGCTTGCCCTGGAAGAAGAGTATCAGGCAAAATCATTACCAAATCGGATTTATCTCAAGCAACAGTTTGCTAGCTTCCGCATGGATGAGAATAAGAATTTGGAAGATAACCTGGATACGTTTCTGAAGCTTATAGCCGATCTTGCCAGTTTGAAGATTACCATCAGTGATGAAGACCAGGCCATTCAACTCCTCACGAGTCTGCCTCCAGCGTATGAGCAGCTAGTTCATACTCTTAAGTATGGAACTGGGAAGGAAACTCTCACGGTTCGAGAGGTTAAAATCATCTGCATACGCAAAAGAAGCAGAGCTTAGACACAATGGAATGCTAAAAAAGGGAAAGTCTAGTGCTGAGGGACTCTATGTTGAAAACCGAGGAAGGTCTAAGAAGCGGAATGATGGTAAAGACAAGGGAAAGACTAAGGATCAGGGAGGAAGGTCTAAGTCTAGAAACAAAAATGGCAAGAAAGGTACCTGTTTCATTTGTGGCAAGGAGGGTCATTGGAAGAGGGAATGCCCAATGCGTGGACAAAAGCAGAATGAAAGCTCCTCTGTTAACACAGTAGCAGAGATAAAGCAGCCTTTGGTCCTCACTGTGAGTTCTCAATACACCAAGGATGAGTGGGTTATGGACTCCGGATGTACCTTTCACATTACACCAAACAAGGAGTTAATGTTTGACTTGACAGAATTTGAGGGAGGAAAAGTGCATATGGCAAATAGCACATACAGTGAAGTAAAAGGAATTGGAAAATTCGAATTACTAACCCAGATGGGTCTGTGGTGATCCTCACGGATGTCAGGTACATGCCGGATATGAGTCGGAATCTCATCTCGTATGGTATGTTGGAGAAGTCAGGATGTACCTACACAGGAGAAAATACAAGTTACGTTCTTCAAAGATGGTCAGAAGGTGATTACTGGAAAATTTAAAGATGGCCTCTATTTTCTCCAAGGAACAGTTTCTAAAGGGGATGTAAATGTGATAGATCCTAAGAACAACTGACTAGTCTATGGCATTCAAGGCTAGGTCACATGAGTTCTAAGAATATGGAAGTCCTATCTAAGGAAGGTTACATACCTCGAATGGAGATTGGAGAACTAGGCTTCTGTGAGAGCTGCGTCCTGGGGAAGTCTCACAAGCAGAGCTTCCCGAAAGCCAAACACACTACTAAAGGGATCCTTGAGTACGTTCACTCGGATCTATGGGGTTCACCGTCAACTCCAGAGAGTCTCGGTGGTGCAAAGTACTTCATCAGCTTCATCGATGATTACTCAAAGAAGCTTTGGGTTTATTTCCTGCGAACAAAGGATGAGGCATTCAGTAAGTTCAAAGAATGGAAAGAAGCTGTTGAAAGTCACACTGAGAAGAAGATAAAGTGTTTGAGAACAGATAATGGTTTGGAATTCTGCAATACCTTGTTTGACGACTTGTGCAGAAAGTCTGGAATTAAGCGCCATCGAACCTGTACCTACACCCCACAACAAAACGGAGTATCAGAAAGGATGAACAGAACCATTATGGATAAAGTGAGAAGTATGCTAGTTGAGACAGGATTGGGACAAGAGTTTTGGGCTGAAGCTACATCTACGTGTGTATCTGATAAACAGGACACCTAATTCTACAATTGAGTTTCAATTACCAGAGGAGAGGTGGTCTGGTCAAAAGCCTGATCTCACACACCTAAGAAGGTTCGGGTGTACAGCTTACGTTCACACTATTCAGGAAGTCCTAGAGCTGAAAGGCACTTTCCTAGGCTATCCGTTTGGTGTTAAGGGTTACAGGGTCTGGATTCCAGAAGATGGAAAGTGTACGACTAGCAGGAATGTTGTTTTTAAGGAGGATGAAGTTTACAAGGATCTAAACAGTTCTAGCAGATCTACGTCTAGTGATCAGTCTACGGCTACACAGAAGAAGAAATCTGGGAGGAAAAATGTTACCTTTGATACTCAGCTGATACAAGGACCGACTCCATTGGGTGCACAAAATTTGTCTGATGTTGGTTCTGAGGGTTCATCTGATATCGACGGTCATGAAATTTCATCTTCTGATGCGGATTCTTCTCAAGGTGGAGCTACTTCTTCAGGTGGAGCTACCACTCCTTCCTCAGTTGATCCCATTGATGTTACCTCGGATGATGAAGAAGAAGGATGAAACAAAACAAGATTGATGATTACCTGTTAGCAAGAGACCGTGAGAGACGTCAAAACGTCAGGCCACCTTCACGATATGAGGATGCCGACTTCGTGGGTTATGCTCTATCTGCAGCTGAAGACATTGAAACAGAAAACCTAAGTCAATGACAGAAGCAAGAAAAGTCCTAATTGGAAATTATGGCATAATGCAGCAGATGATGAGATGACTTCATTGATAAAGAATCATACCTGGGATTTGATTGAGAAACCGGAAGATGCCAGGGTTGTAGGCAGTAAATGGATCTTTACAGTGAAATCAGGGATTCCAGGGGTTGAGGCAAAGCGGCACAAGGCAAGGTTGGTGGCTCAGGGGTTTTCTCAGACAGAGGGTGTTGACTACAATGAGATCTTCTCACCTGTGGTTAAGCATGTCTCTATTCGACTAATGCTATCAGCGGTTGTTAACAGAGACTATGAGCTAGAACAGATGGATGTCAAGACTGCATTTCTACACGGTGACTTAGAAGAAAGGATACTAATGAAGCAACCAGAAGGTTTCATTAAGAAAGGAGATGAAAACAAAGTATGCCTACTCAGGAAATCTCTATATGGTCTAAAACAGTCACCAAGGCAGTGGAATATCAAGTTTGACAGTTTTATGAAGGAAGCAAACTTCATCAGAGCGAGTATGATCAGTGTGTCTACATGCGCAACATTCAGAATGAAAATGCAGTCTACTTACTTCTCTATGTGGATGATATGCTAATTGCATCAGGCAGTTTGTCAGAGATCAGATTGGTAAAAGACAGTTTGAGCTCTAAGTTCGAAATGAAAGACATGGGTAAGGCCTCACGCATACTGGGAATGGATATCATCAGAGACAGAGAGAAGGGAATTCTAAAGCTATCTCAGGAAAGCTACATCGAAAAAGTGTTAAAGACTTTGGAATGACAGATGCTACAACAACAACAACTCCACTTGCTACTCATTTCAAGCTAAAAAGTTTAACTAAAGCAGAGAAATTAGAGGAAGCAGTTCATATGGAGAATACACCCTATGCTAGTGCAGTGGGAAGTTTGATGTATGCAATGATTGGTTCAAGGCCAGACTTAGCATATGCAGTTGGGGTTATAAGCAGGTTCATGTCAAATCCAGGGAGAGGTCATTGGACAGCAGTGAAATGGGTTTTACGCTACCTAAGAGGTGCATCAAAAGCAAGTCTAACATTTACCAAGAAGAAAGGTTTCAGTATTGATGGGGTTCTGCGATTCAGACTATGCAACGGATATTGACAGAAGAAGGTCAGTGACTGGGTATATCTTTCAAGTCTGGGGTAATACAGTTTCATGGCGTTCTAATCTACAGTCTGTGGTAGCCTATCAACTACTGAAGCTGAGTACATGGCCCTATCTTCAGCAGTGAGAGAGGCTATATGGTTAAAGGGTTTATGCAGTGAGTTGGGTTTTGATGCAGGTGCAGTTAAAATTCATTGTGATTCACAGAGTGCACTAGGCTCTAGCTAAGAACTCAGTTTATCACGAAAGGACTAAGCATATTGCTACAAAGTATCATTTCATCAGAGATATAGTAGCAGAAGGCACAGTCAAGTTGTACAAGATACACACAAGCAAGAATCCGGCGGATTTCCTAACTAAGGCCTTACCTGGGCCAAAGTTTGAGCTCTGCCGAGAGCTTGCAAAAGTCGCCTGAGAAGCTTGAAGGCTCCAGGTAACTCCATTGTCAAAGGTACCTCGCAAACAAGAAAAGGTACCTCGCAAACTCCGATTTGCTTCGACGTGATAGTGAATGCGACGGAAGGCGCGATTCCTTCCCCCAGTGAGTAGGAAACGAACACTGGGTTAACAAATCTCTTGTGCATTTACTTTCCTGCAATTTAAACAACAATCGCATTAGAAAATCTATAATCTCAAAGCTAAAACTCAACAATATGTAGCAGGATGTAGCTACAAAGAAGACGGCAATTCTTGTTCCTTGAAGAACAGATTTGAGGTTTTCGACACAAAAACACAGAGTTGGGACACTGAGAGCATCGACCCTTGCAGCGAGACACAATGCAATTTTAATAACTCGAGAAGCGCATGTATTGACGGAAAGTTACACGTGCTGAAGACTAGAACACAGGGGGTAGCTTTCAATTCCAAGGAACGTAGATGGGACTTGAGTGGACCACAAATGGGTCATTATATGATTTCTTATTCTTACTGCGTGATAGAGAATGTTATGTACCTTATTACTTCTGACGGATTATTGTGTTGGTATGACACCGAGGTAAGCAGGTGGAGATGTTTGACGGGTTTGGAAGGACTACCTGAGTTCCGTCATGACGCTAGATTGGCTGATTATGGTGGAAAGCTTGCGGTTTTGTGGGAAGGCAAGATAGAGAATGATCCGTATGATTTAAGGCAAGGGGGCGGCTATAACAAGATTTGGTATGCGGAGATTGCGCTTGAGAGACGGCAAAAAGGACGTGAGATTTGGGGGACAGTTGAGTGGCTTGATAATGTGCTCACAGTCCCTAAATCATGTAATCTCGTGAAGGTTCTTGCGGTTACTGTTTGATATATGCATGACTTTGTCAACTGTTTTTTTCACTTTTTGATTAATGTTAAACTTATTTATCTTTCACTTCACTATTTGATGATTGTTTATTAATTTCAGTGGTTAAAATTTGCAGCAGAATTAGGATTAAAATCCGTTTAGGATTAAAATGCATTCGTTCATATACTTCATATCATCATATCGTATCTCCAAAATTGGATTTTGTGTTTTTGGTTGTATCTATGGGCAACAATATTCGAACTTGTGAAGCTTTGTGAAGACTTCTAATCAGATATTATGGGGTGTAACCGATTAATTTGTATGTATCTCTATATGAATGCATTAACTATATATAAACGTAGGTATTACTATTAACTAGGAATTGAACCCCCGCGAAACCGCGGGGGCAACATGTTTATACTAAATGATAAACAAAAAATTATCAAGTTATATTTATTAGTGAAATTTTTAAAATTAAAAAGAATAATGCAAAAATATGAAAATCCAAAATGTTTATATATTTGAAATGTTAAATTTCTGATAAATGAAAAAATATGAAAATGTAGCATAAAGAGATGCAACCTTTTCAAATATAAATTCCACTTGATTTCTAATTAGTACATATTAGTTAGTGATTTACTCAAAGATTTTAAGATTTAAGACCCAACCTAAAAAGTATCATAATACTATGAATGCGTAAATTTGTACTTTCGGAGTGAAAATCACAATTGGTTTGGTCAAGTTCAAAGGCGTGATACTTTCATTACTTCATATTACGAGCATATATACCTCATGAAAAGTGAACATTATATGTTTTCCCAATTAAAGTACCAATGTCTCTTTTGTCAAAATATGTTTGATTATATATCATATATATTTTGTTAAAAATTGAATCTATGCCAAATGCTCCTCTTCATATTTTTATTTTTGTTTTTTCACATACAAAAAGCTTTTATATGAGATTAAAGGTTACAAAGGTTAGTCGAATTGCAACGGATAAATATCAAAAGTTGCAATGATTCATTCAATTTAAAGACTGCAGCGATTCACATAAATTTTAACATTTTTCTCTCATTTAAGAATAATCATAGATTAAGTAAATAAACAACACATCAGATACTCATGCATAGATACGTAACAATCGGTTACCATCTTTATAAAAAAAAATTATGTTTAACCAATAAAATTATGTCATTATCTTCCAAGATGTCTTTGAAACTGAAAACGCTTTCTTTCAAAATTACGATTCGTGTGCATTCTAAATTTGAATGCAAAATTGTTATACGAAGTAACATGACTTTTAACAAAGTACTTATAAGTGGTAATATACGACCCTTGGACTCTTTGACTTCTTCAACATAACCGTTCACAATCTTCTGGTTTAGACTCTTTGAAACGATCGGCAACGACTTCACTTCTCCTTTTCCTTTTCCTAAGTTGTTCTCTCGCTTGACTTTTAGAAAGTTTTATAAATCAAGTATAGTATGATAAATAGCATTGTTCCCAGGAAAATCAACGATATACAATTTTCTACTTTGTTTTCCAAAAGCCTTAATTATTCTTTTGTGCAGAGCTTGACCTTTGTTATTGTCCAGACTGATGATTTTGGGATCGAAAACCCAAATGATATTTCATAACCATGGGTTAGGACGTTAGGTAAATATCTATTGGTTAATAAAACTCCACTGGCAAATGAATACGTCACCAGAATCAAACATTCTACGAGACATCAGGTTACGTTATACCAACGTAACAAAAAAAAAAAAAAAAAAAAAAACTGAAAGATTCTGTTATTTTCTTCCCGTATCTTTTGTCTCGATTCCAGTTTGTTGAAATTAGAGAATGTAAATAAAGGTGGTGTTACATGGGTTTCGTTGTCAAAAGAAAAAAAAAGGTGGCGTTTAATCCCAGAGGAAGAAATCCCAAATGAGTTTCAATATTTGTTGATCATGACTCTACCATTAAAAAAAAAATGTGAATAATTCTGAAATGTGTTCTTTCAAGAGTGCATATTAACAATCACAACTTTTAAAGGTACCTTCAGAAATTAAATGAAAATAAAAGGGAAATAGAAAAGTACCATTTACAAATACAAGATCCCTATGTAAGAGTTGTGAATCTTGTGATTGTTAGAACTTTTTGTGTGTCTACATAAATCAACATGCATTGATTACTTGTTAAGAGTTTCTTGTCGAAAACTTATATAATATAAATTTAGAATTTATAACTTACGTGCAAGACATTTGTATTTAAGATCGGCTAATAAACATACTTCCTTTGTTCTTCAATAAATAAGTAGCATTTTAGGATTATGTACACAGATTAAGAAATTGATTATTATTTTTATTATTCCCAATACAATTTAACCATTAAAAAAAATAAAATACAATAAAGTTGATTTGTGAAAAAACATTTTATTTATAAACAATTTTTTTTCTTCTCTAAAATGACACTTACTAAAGGATATAGGGAGTATAATATATTTTAAAGTGCGTCAATGCCTTTTTTGAAAGGTTTGTGCATTCGTAAATTTGACAACACAATATATGATCATGTCTTCATTGAGAGGACAAAATTCTCTGGTTAGGGGATTGATAGAGATTACGGAATTAGGAAGATCCGAAGAGCAATTTCTCTTGGTTAGACTCTAACTTTGAAACATCAGCTTCAAATTTTACTATGTATTGTTAAGCGAATTTTTTTCACACAAAAACAGATGAAGAAAACGACAGAAATTAGAAATTAGAAATTAGTTTTGAGAAATTAACAGAATTCATGAACTACGAATCTGTTGGATGATAAGACCAACTCTCGTTGACAAGACTACCAATTGGATGGATTTCTAAAATTAAAATTGAAGATGTAGAGATATATTGAACATTATAAATAGAACTGAAAAGTATCACTGTTGAAAGATGCAACTGAAGAGGTATATCCGCATGAGCGAAAAGATGCGACTCGAAAAGTCACAACTTTTAAAATAAATAGTTATATATGTGAAACAGTTAAAAACGAAAAGGTACAAACACAAAAACATTTATTCAAATAACTATTCTACATAAAATGACATTGGTTACGAAACGTTTGTGTCTTTTCGCTAAGTACCTTTTCCTTTACAATCGCTTCTTTAACTCAAAATTGTGACCGAAAAACCATAACGGTTATTGACTTTCATGTATCTAAGAGTTGCGACAAACATTGCTCTATATAGTAGTGTACATAAGAGGTATCCCTTGGTCTAACCAACACAAGCCAATACTCAATCTACATTCATAAAATTTCTCATCCCATGAATTAATCTATTAATAATCAGTATTAAAATCAAAATTTTAGTAAAAACCCACGCATCAAACTCAAGCAATATACGACACGTAACTGAAATCCATCATGCTCTGAATCAAATCAAACAACAGATTTTCAGTACCGAGAACAAAACCGTGATAGGGTTTTAAGTCTAAAATCGCATTATCAATACTAAGATAGCTAAAGATGGATATTTTGTAAATATCTGCACCAACATTTAGAAAGCGAACAGAAGTATGGAAGTCACCAAGAAAAACGGTGAGTTCCACGAATATATACTCGAACTATATTTTGGTGGCTGGTGGGTATCGATCCTCCGTTTACGGAAAATAAGATTGCATAAAGACTTCCAAATTTTCCTTACTACGCTTGTGATTTAGCTACTCTTGGGATTCATTGGAGGTTTATTAGACTTTAGTGTTGCTTTTCTGCATTTTATGTGTCTTGTGACATAAAAAGTTCCCATGTTAGTGGTGTAAAACGCCATGTGCGAGATGAGAAAATTGAAAAAACAAATGAGTGATAGACTCCGAGCGGAACACCTCTTGTGTTTAATTTTGTTTGTCGACAGCCGAATTCATGTTAGATAATTATTATTATACGCATAAAAGAGAAAGCACAAATAAAGACTAAAAGGAAATAATTCGACCAAAAATGTAGATGATTTTTTCTTGTGTGGAGATAAAAATGGACCTGAGATTGCATGCATGCCTGAAAGTTATAAACTTATAGTCATTGACAAATTTAAAAGACAGATGAATATGAAAACAAACCAAACATAAAACCTACAGAATCACCGGCAAGATCCGGCGGTCTGAAAACCAACAAAGAAAGTGACGGGTGCTTTTGATACGATCATAAAATATATTGTTATTATTTAACTAAAGCAAATAACTTAGGAAAATACAAAAGAGAAGAATTACAATTCAAGAGCAAATATTCTATTTCAATGAGTGTAAAAAAAAGTGACTCGGCATCTGGTAAATCATTCTCTTCATAGATGCGAAGTTTCTTCTGTTCGTTGACTATATCTCCACTCATATATTTCCAAAATGCATTCCACAATTTTAATGGACTTGATATCTCACAATATACTAACAACAATGTAAATACTTCACGTAACTCATTAGATGTCGAAATTGATGCCGCCTCTGCCATCGTATCATGCCATTCTTCATCGCCACCAAGTAAACCATGAACTGAACATGATTCTTTAAATGTTGCGTATACCTTCCCATCTAGAGTTAAAAAAATCTTCATTTTTTGAAGCTCCTTTAACATGATCAGATAGCAGTCTTAAATAATATAATTCACCAAATTTTGGATTGAACTGACGAAGCCTTCCATTATCTACAGTGATATTTCTATCTTTCCACTGTCTTTTTGATTTATTCCAAACATATGGACATGGAACTTGATCACGTGAAATACCTTTGGAATGATGAAAGAAATTGCGCACATGAGGTTGTTTATATCTCTCATATTTTAATTTCCTCCACATTAATTCACAAGGATTTACATATGGACGCATACTTGAATCTGTTTCTGAATTATTTATTGGTGTAATAGCCATGGCAAAAGAGATGTCAAAAGATATCGGAAAGCGATTTAATAAATAATTGATAAAAAAACAATGAAAAGAGAAGAGAGGTCAAGTAAAAAAAAGAATTCGGACAGGATGGAAAAAACTAAATTAGGAACTCAGGAATTCAATGATCTTATATAACAAATATATAGAGTTCAAAAGACATATTTGTTAAAAGATGCACCTGTTCATAAAAAGCGGTTATAAACGGAGAGTTACGACTTAAAAAACACAACCTTTCAAATAAGCGGTTATTGACAATCAGTTAAGAACGAAAAGGCACGACAAATAAAAGGCATTTGTTCAGTTTGCTATTATATTTAGATTAAGATGCTTCATTCTTATGAACACTATGACATGTCTTCTTTTCCAAGAACACGACTACACGTGATCTTCTAAATGACTCTGTTTTGATTTGTTGTCGAAAATAAAACATAATTATATCACCAATGCATAATAATGTTAGAAAGTATCACAGAACAAACGTGGTTTTATATAAGTAAAGGTCAATGAGAGCACTCCAAAACAAAAAACTTTTAAAATTAAAAGACAAGAGAAAAAGGTAAAGGATATGTGGTAACGAACTTGCGTTGAATCACCAGACGGATTTTATTTCATCAACATGACAAAATTTATTCGTAATAAAAAAATAAAAATAATATCATTTGATATTTTGATTCACACGTTGTCAATTCAGTTTTTCGCTATAATCTGGTGAACAGAAGTGGAGTGAGACAGTTGTTGAACCAGGTTTTGTCGCTGTCGGGAATTGAGTTGGAGAAAGTTGTACTTGTTAAGAAGGAGATGATGAAACTTGTTGTGTCTGATAACTGAAATTTGCTGAACAAAAGAAAAAGCGATTTTTTTTTTTTTTTTTTTTGACATCAGAAAAAAGCGATTTGTTGTAAACGTTTTTTTAATAGTTTTTGAGTAGTTTAATTTTCCGGGAACATTTGCCGGCAACGGGAAATGGGAGTTGAGCAGTTTAATGGACTATATAACTCTCTTGTTCAAATATATTGAGCCAAGTACTTAAAACTCTGTATTTAACTATTTAAGCCCATAATTGAATTATTCCTTTGTACAATTTGGCCCACCTACATACATGAAGCTTTCTTAATTCCCTAGGGTTTATTGATTTAAAGACAAAACCTTAGTGATCACGTCTCCTTATTATATGTTATCTCAATTGATGTCGTCCTTGGAGAACCTGGAGAGCAAGAGGAACACAACTATGACGAAAATGAAGGAGCCATCGATGTCGATGCAATCAAACCCAAATCCGTGGCTTCCCGATGATTTGCTATTGAGCTGCTTGGCACGTGTCTCTAGATTGTACTATCCGGCTCTGTTCCTTGTCTCCAAGCGCTTTCGATCTCTCCTTGTTTCACCGGAGATTTACAAGGCCCGGTCACTCTTGGGCCATACCGAGACTTGTCTCTATGTGTTCTTTGAGTTAAATTCTTATTCTCAATGGTATACCCTATGCCTGAAACCTAATCAAACCCTAACCGATGACACCCGTGAGTATGTTTTGGCTAAAGTCCCAATTCCAAGGTCTCCTCATGTGCGCTTTGGGGGTCTCGTGGCGGTTGGTTCTAATATCTACGGAATTGAAGAGAGCCCCATGTATGCAAACAAGGAAGAGTGCTCCTCTGACGTGTGGATTCTAGATTGCCGGACTCACACGTGGTGCGAGGCTCCAAGCTTGCCGGTGAAGCTAGTGTCACTTTCTGCTAGCTTTCTTGATGGAAAGATATATGTAGCAGGATGTAGATACAAAGAAGACGGCGATTATAGTTCCTGGAAGAACGGATTTGAGGTTTTCGACACAAAAACACAGATTTGGGACCCTGAGACCATTCCTTGCAGCGAGACACTATTCAATTTCCTTAACTCGAGAAGCAATTGTATTGACGGAAAGTTCCACGTGATGAAGCCTGGCACACAGGGTGTTGCTTACAATTCACAGGAACGTAGATGGGACTTGATTGCACCAGAGATGGAACATTATACGTTTTGTTATTCTGAGTGCGTGATAGATAATGTTATGTACTATATTGATTGTTACCGACATTTGAGATGGTATGACACTGAGGTAAGCACATGGAGATGTTTGACGGGTTTAAAAAGACTACCTATGATCCCTTCTGACGCTTGTATGAGATTGGCTGATTATGGCGGAAAGCTTGCGGTTTTGTGGGAAACGTATCATTATGATTTAAGGCAAGGTGGCGGCTATAAGAAGATTTGGTGTGCGGAGATTGCGCTTGAAAGACGGCAAAAAGGACGTGAGATTTGGGGAAAAGTTTAATGGTTTGATAAAGTGCTTACATTCCCTAGTTCATGTCTTTTTTTTTTTTTTGAATTGAATGTAAAATTGTATTCAAACCCAAAAAACGTCGTCTTTTACATCATGTGCAACTTGAATTTGAGAAGAGTTAAGAGAAATAGAAAACTTTTCTAGAAACAACTAGCTTCGTGCTTCAAACCAAGTGTGGAGTGCTGCTTCGTATTTAATGTCTCCGAGTTGTCTGATCGACGAGATACGATTACGGACAATCTTGTCAATGGTCGCTGTAAGCTGGTTTGAGGAGAGTGGTTGTTCTCCATGTCGACGAGAGTTCCTCTCTCTCCAAATAGCATGTATCGTTGCCTGTAATACATAGCGTACGAGGAAGAGAGTGAGCTGCGGTTGGTCCTTTGCAGAGATGAAAGAGACGATAGCCGACCAGTTCGTAGAGTAGTTTCTTGTCATCTCGAGAAGGTTCTTGCTGTTACTGTTTGATGAATGACTTTGTCTCTCGTTTTTATATATTTTTGTTTGGATAAAGGGTGTCTATGGCTCTAACTCTTGTTTCACTTATATAATCATTTGATTTTGCTTTTTGATTAATGTTAAAGCTTAATTTTCGAAAAATACCTTTCAAGATCTTTTTGTGTTGTATATACTGAATCTTCTTTACTTTCATTCTTGAGTTTTAAAAAAAAAACACAACTCAACTCAATAGGAACTCCTCTACCTGAGCCACACGAGCCACTTCAGTCACGACATCGCATCATATATATTCTCCTTGAATAGAGAGACTTTGAACTTCCTTGAACATCAAGAAAACCATTTTCCCACAACGATAGCTCTTTCTCGAATTTTTGGATCAAAAACCACAAACACAAAGTCATTTCATCCAAGTGTAAATTTTGCTTAGTCATCTGCATTGGTGATACTCATCACAGGCTCTATAATATATTAAAAAACTAACTTTTTAAAAAAGAAAAAGAAATTCAAAGGAAATTAATAAATGGGCTAATCAAGTGAAGACAAGTGTAGAATTCCTCTTGAGATAGTCTCTTCCAGTCCTCCGAACAGAGTCGGTTTTGTTACTTTTCCTTGCCACCTCATTTTAATTTCATTTTTTTCTTTTTCTTTTTTGTGTCAGAACCTATAGGAGTATATACAATGCGGGTGCTCTTAGGGCATCAGCATCGCACAGTTTCTATAGGGTTCTATTGCTGAGTTGGCATTAAAAGAAAAGGAGAAAAAGAAAAAAAAAATGAGTTGGCACAATTTTTCGTGTATCCGGTTCTCGCAGAGCAGGGCTAGCTCACATAACTGTCTCTATATCTGTTAGGGAAGCTCGCCATGTGTTTTGATTCATCAACTTTTTTTTTTAATTTATTTATTTATTTTTTATGACAAAAATAATTTTTTTTTAAAACAAAATATTAATAAAAAAATGTTTCAGAGCTTTACCGATGCACATGCTCTTATAGACTTTATAACTTTTGACCCATATTTATTGAGGCCCACAAAACGATTAGCTGTTTTTTTTTCTTTCTTTTAATTACTCGTTATTAATTGATCAGTGTCTTCCCTGGAGAAGAAGAGGAAGACAACTACGATGACGAAATACGCCACAGCCAGAGCCGGAGCCGTTACCGTCGCCGCCATCAACCCAAAATCCGTCGCTTCCTGATGATTTGCTATTGAGCTGCTTTGCACGCGTCTCTAGATTGAACTATCTGACTCTCTCCTTCGTCTCCAAACGCTTTCGATCTCTCCTTGCTTCACCGGAGCTTTACAAGGCCCGATCACTCTTGGGAAATAGCGAGGCGTGTCTCTATGTGTGCATAGATTTCTATCCTCGTTCTCGCTGGTACACCCTATACGTAAAACCTAATAAAACCCTAACTAATGACACCGGTGATGATAAAAAGGAGAAGAAGTCAAGTGGGTATGTTTTAGCTAGAGTCGCAGACCCTCGTTCTCCTCGTTCGCACTTTAACGGTCTTGTGGCGGTTGGTTCTAATATCTACAGAATCGAAGAGCGCTCCTCTTAACTTCTCGATTCTAGATTCCCAGTCTCACACGTGGCGAGAGGCTCCAAGCTTGCCGGCCAAGCTAGCGTCACTTTCTGTTAGCGTCCTTGATGGGAAGATATATGTAGCAGGAGGCCATGTTTCAGAGTTCTTGAAGAACACGTTGGAGGTGTTCGACACTGAAACACAGACTTGGGATCTTAAGACCATCCCTTGCACCGTGACAAAAAGCAATGTTTATCACCCGAGAAGTGCATGTATTGACGGAAAGTTCCACGTGAAGACTAGCACAGAGGCGGTTGTTTACAATTGTAAGGAAAGTGGATGGGACTTGTTTGAACGAGAGATGGGTAAATATATGATTGCAGAATCTTATTGCGTGATAGAGAATGTTTTGTACTCTGCTTTACACGGAGAATTGATATGGTATGACTCTGACGTATGCAAGTGGAGATGTTTGAAGGGTTTGGAAGGACTACCTGATATCCCTTTTGGCGCTTGTGTTAGATTGGCTGATTATGGTGGAAAACTTGCGGTTTTGTGGGAAGGGGATGTGTTTGATTTAAGGCATGGTGGCAGCTATAGAAATATTTGGTGTGCGGAGATTGCGCTTGACAGACGGAAAAAAGGACGTGGGATTTGGGGGGAAGTTGAATGGTGTGATGATGTGCTTACAATCCCTAAATTGTGTAAGCTCGTTAAGGTTCTTTCTGTTACTCTTTGATGAATTACTTTGTCTCTTTGTTTTCTTACCTTTTTAATGATAAAGTGTGCCTTGTCTCTTGTTTCACTTCTAATCATCCGATTGAACTTTTTGATTAATGTTAAGCTAATTGAACAAAATATCTTTGAAGATCGTTTTGTGTTGAATAGACTGAATTCTCTTTAACCTCATTGGTGAAAAGAAAACAACACAGTTGGATGAGTATTTGATGATTATTTATTAATTTTAGTTAGTGGTGAATTAGGGTTTTGTTGTTGCTCCACAATTAGTTTATGTGTTTTTGGTTGTATCCGCATGGGCAACAACAATATTTGAACTTTTGGAGACTTGCGAAGATATATTAAAGGCGTAGACATTAAGTGAATGGGGAGTACTTCTCTCTCTAATCACGTCCTGTGAGGTTTAAACGATTTGTATGTATCTTTGTATGATTGCATTACTTCTATATAAATGTATATGTATTAAGCTTCATTCTTATGCGTATACATGGAACACTATAACGTGTCTTTTTTTTTCCAAGAACAGAACTACACATATCTTCTAAAGACTCTATTTGATACTGTTGTCTCTAACATGATATATTCTAAAGACTATATTAAAATAATAATAATAATAATCTCTTCTTAAATTTATTGAGGATTATGACATTAAAAATTCAGTATATATATTTAGCCTGATAAATTGAATGTTTCCTTTGTACAGCTGGCTCAACCCAATTAAGAAGCTTCCTACTTCCCTTAGTTGTTGTCTTAAGCACAAACCTTAGCGATTACATCTCGTTAATTTCTATTTGATATCAAGCAATGTCGTTCCTGAAGAAGAAGAGGAAGACGACGGAGAAGAAGCTGTCGCCTTCACCGCAGTCAACCCCAAATCCGTCGCTTCCAGATGATTTGCTATTGAGCTACTTCGCACGCGTCTCAAGGTTGTACTATCCGACTCTCTCCCTCGTCTCCAAACGCTTTCAATCTCTTCTTTCTTCAGTGGAGCTTTACAAAGCTCGGTCACACTTGGGCAATACCGATATTTGTCTCTATGTGTGCTTAGAATTTTATCCTTGTTCTCAATGGTACACCCTCTGCTTCAAACCTAATCAAACCCTAACTTGTGACACAAGTGAGGATAAGAAGAAGTCAAGTGGATATGTTTTGGCTACAGTCCCACAGTTCCACCTTCTCGTCCTACGTACGTTCCGGGTCTGGTGGCGGTTGGTTCTAATATTTACAGCATTGAAAAGCTCTCTTCTTACGTCTCGATTCTAGATTGTAAGTCTCACACGTGGTCTGAGGCTCCAAGCTTGCCGGTAAAGCTAGTGTCACTCTCTGCTAGCGTCCTTGATGGAAAGATATATGTAGCAGGATGTAGCTACAAAGACGACGATTCGCCGGATTCCTTTGAGAACACGTTGGAGGTGTTTGACACAAAAGCACAAACCTGGGATCTTAAGACCATCCCTTGCAAGAAGAGAGAAAGAAATATTTTTTACTTCAGAGAAAGCAATATTGTTTACTCTAGAAGTGCATGTATTGACGGAAAGTTCTACTTGAAGACTAGCACAGAAGCGGTTTCTTATAGTTCCAAGGAAGATAGATGGGACTTGGTTGGAGAAGACATGTGTGATTCTATGATTAGTCATTATTACTGCGAGATAGAGAATGTTGTGTACTCTGCTTCTGACGGAATATTGAGATGGTATGACTCTGAGGCAGACAAGTGGGAACTTTTGAAGTGTTTGGAAGGACTACCTAAGTTCCCTCGTGGCTCTCGTATAAGATTGGCTGATTATGGTGGAAAGCTTGTGGTTTTGTGGGAAGGGGATGTGTTTGATTTGAGGCACATTGGCGGCTATAAGAAGATTTGGTGTGCGGAGATTGAGCTTGAAAGATGGAAAAGACGTGAAATTTGGGGGAAAGTTGTATGGTTTGATATTGTGCTTACAATCCCTAAATCATGTTATCTCGCCAAGGTTCTTGCTGTTACTGTTTGACGAATTACTTTGTCTCTTTTTATATATATATATTTTTGTTTGGATGGATATCTTTGTTTCTTGTTTCACTTTTTTATTAATGGTAAATCTTATTTTGTGACCAAAGTGTCTTGTGGACATTGTTTTGTGTGGAATAGACTGACTTCTCTTTACTTCATACGTGAAAAGAAAACAACACAGCTTTTTGAAGAGTATCTGAACAAAGTACACTATGCACGACTCCTTTTTTTTGAGAAATATTTTATTGACGATTTAATTTGATGTGAATTTTGTTTACTTTATTTTATGGACTTAATAACTCTCTTGGCCTAAACTTTTAGTGAGCCCAATTAAAATTCAGTTTTTTATGCTGGTTGTCTAAGCAATAAAACCACCGGCTGTTTTGTTCTCTTTTACCAATTGGCGATTTCGTCTCGTTAATATTAATCAATGTCGTCCTTAGAGAAGAAGAGGAAGATAAATACGACGAAGAAGGAATCGGAGCCGGAGCCGTCATCGCAGTCAACCCCAAATTCATCACTTCCCGATGATGTGCTATTGAGCTGCTTCGCACGCGTCTCGAAGTTGTACTATCCGACTCTCTCCCTCGTCTCTAAGCGATTTCGATCTCTCCTTACTTCACCGGAATTTGACAAGGCTCGGTCTCTCCTGGGCCACACCGAAAGTTGTCTCTATGTGTGCATGGAGTGTTATCAACGTTCTCGCTGGTACACACTATGCCGAAAACCTAATCAAACCCTAACTTGTGACACAAGTGAGGGTAAGAAGAAGAAGAAGAAGAAGAAGAATAAGTCAAGTGGGTATGTTTTGGCTAGAGTTCCAATTCCCTGTTCTCCTCGTTCGCACTTTCAGGGTCTCGTGGCGGTTGGTTCTAATATCTACAACATCGAAGAGGGCTCATCTAAGGTCTCGATTCTAGATTGCCGGAGTCACACGTGGGGAGAGGCTCCAAGCTTGCCGCTGAAGCTAGCGTCTTTTTCTGCTAGCGTTCTTGATGGAAATATATATGTTGCAGGAGGCGATGCTTCAGATATCTTGAAGAACAATTTGGAGGTGTTCGACACAGAAACACAAACTTGGGATCTTAAGACCATCCCTTACATTGACCATCACCCACATTCACCCATGTTTTTTAATTACCCAGGAAGCGCATGTATTGACGGAAAGTTCCACGTGATGAAGACTAGAACAGAGGGGGTTGCTTACAACTCCAAGGAAAGTAGATGGGACTTGTCTGCACCAAATATGGGTAATTATATGGTTGGAGATTCTTATTGCGTGATAGAGAATGTTTTGTACTCTGCTATGCACGGAGTATTCAGATGGTATGACTCTGGGCTAAGGGAGTGGAAAAGGTTGATGGGTTTGGAAGGACTACCTAACTTCCCTTTTCGCAGTTGTGTTAGATTGGCTGATTATGGCGGAAAGCTTGTTGTTTTGTGGGAAGGGGATGTGTTTTATCTGAGGCACGGTGGCGGCTATAACAAGATTTGGTGTGCGGAGATTGCGCTTGAAAGACGGCAAAGAGAACGTGAGATTTCCGGGAAAGTTGAGTGGTTTGATCATGTGCTTACAGTCGAATCATGTGATCTCGTCAAGGTTCTTGCTGTTACTCTTTCATGAATGACTTTGTCTCTTGTTTCATTTCTAATCGTTTGATTTCAGTTTTTGAATACTAACCTTATTATTGTGACAAAAAAATGTCTATTGAAGATCGTTTTGTGTTGAATAGACTGACTTCTTGAAAATTTAAAAAGAAGAAAACACACTTTTTGAAGAGTATTAGATGATTGCTTACTAATTTGAGTGGTTAATGAGGTTTTGTTGTAAAGGGTAATAAGCTTTCGTTGTTGATATTTAAAAAGCATCTTCCAGAAATTATCAAAACTGTAAACCAACCAAAAGTATGGCCAGTAATTATAAGTCACATAAATGAGCCCTGCGACAATGGTTCATTTCAGCCTTCCAAGTTGTAATAGTGGACAAAAAGTGTTTATAGTTATGTTGTTATACTGTTTTGTATGGTATTATATGTTCTGAAAGATGAAAACCTCTTATTTTTGTGTTTCTCTATGAGTATATGTAATGAAAGACTAAACCTTCGTTGTTGATAGTTCAAAGCAACTAATTACAGAAATTATCAAAAACTATAAACAAAACAAATATATATGGCTAAGCCACAATGTTTTATTTTAATAGAACCCTTCCAAGTTGTAATAGTGGACAAAAGGTATTTCTGTAATGGTTGTTACTATACTGTTGTGTCACAAAGAACAAACTGTTTTGTATGAAAACCTATTCTTCAATTTCAGACAATTTGTGATTTACCATTAACGAACCTGCTTTGAATCACCAGACATATTTTGATTCATCAATAATGACAGATAAATTATTGATGCAAAAAAACTGTCATCATCTTTTTGATACATGACCGTTGTCAATTCATTTGTTTCCTGTGTTTCTATAATCTTTTTTGAGCTGGTGAGAGAAGTGGAGTGAGACTGTTGTTAAACAGTGAGGTTTTGTCTCTGTGGCTAAATTGAGTTTGAGAAAGCCGTTAAGAAGAAGATGATAGAAACTTGTTGTGTCTGATAACTGAAATTTTTGAATAAAAGAAAAGGGGGATTTGTTTGATTTTTTCTTTTAGTTTTAGAATTTCATTGGCCCAAATTGATTAAAGACCAATTAAAATTTAGGGGGTGTATTAAACTAGGGATTTGGAATGATTTATGGTAATTTGATTTTTAGATAATTTTGTGTGATTCATAGAAGTTTAAGTGATTTTAGTTAAGTTATTCTAAAATCTCATTTAAAACCATGTGATTTGAAATATCTTATTTTTAACAAGTAAATCTCACCAAATCATTCTAAAATCAAATTTATCTTTTAAAATTCACTTTTAAAAACATTTTCAATAACACTAGATTTGAAAGTGAGTATTAAAATCACAAGTTCAAGAACATACACTAGATTTTAAAGGGTTTTTGGAATTCAAGTTTGAATAACACTGGATTTGTCATTAATCACTCCAAATCACCGCTTATAATGTTTAAGCACAAAATTGGCAATCTTGTGTCGTTAAATAATGGGGTGTTTGCAAAAGTAGACCCCAATTTGTGGTCAATGTTTTTGGTATACCCCTCTAATACTTACACCTCTTTCTCTCTATATCATCCTTACCCTCTCATCATATCTACCAAAATGCCATCAGCTTTTCTATTTTTCATTTTTTTAGAAAATAATAATGTCCAAACCAACCTCATCTCCTACACTTATTCACGAAAATGCCATCAAATTCAATTCACCCAACAACCATTTTCAACCATATTCAAGCTTTTTAAAGCTTCTTCTTCCCTTTTACACCACCAAAATCACACTATATTCTCTTCTAACCTTCTTCTCTTACTTATTCTCTCCAATTTCATCACAAAAACTCTATAATCCATCTCTCAAAAATATAAGTTCTTGTATGATGCCATTTGTGGTCACCAAGCTCACGGCAACAGCTGGGCTTCTCTGCTGAAGGTTTAAATCGAACCAATCCGCCGTCGACGCAACCAAACAGCTCATCAAGGTGATTTTCCGTTCGTTTTTCGTGAATTTCAGATCTCCTGCGCGATGTAGACTTCACTAAGAAGTCAACATGTCAACGTGGGGTACACTAACTGCAAACGACTTTTTAAAATTTTGGAGAAGTAGACTTCTTGGAGAAGTCTACATTAATCCTTTGACAACAAAAAAAGGTGGACCCCATGTGTAGACTTCACAAAGAAGTCTATTCTTCGGGAGGGGTATACTTTTGCAATTGACCAGACGACGACTTTCGGTTCTGAAGTCTACACATGAAGTCTACGCGACAGGGGTATACTTTTGCAATTGACCAAATCACGACTTTTTGATGTAGACTTCTTTTTTAGACTGTAGACTTCCCCGCGAAGTCTACTTTGACTCGTAGACTTCTTTTTGAAGTCTACTTTCGGAGTAGACTTCATGGAGAAGTCTACTTCTGCAAAAAGAAGTCAACTGGTCAACGAATGAATAGTAACTCGGGGTACACCAACTGCAAACGTTGTTTTACGAAGTCTACTTTTGGTAGTAGACTTCAATATGACGTCTACTTTTCGTAGTTGACTTCTTGTTGAAGTCTACTTGTCATTGTTGACTTCAATATGAAGTCTACTTTTATAAAAGAAGTCTACTTCAAAAAGTCGTGATTTGGTCAATTGCAAAAGTATACCCCTCGAATTGTTGACTTCCTTTGTAGACTTCACAAAATATTCTTGCAGTTGGTGTACCCCTAAAGTTGACTTCCTGGTGAAGTCTACAAGTAGATTTCTACATGACGTCTACTTTGTTACTGTATTGTAAATTAGGTGTTTGTGCAATATGAATAACTAATTTATAAGATTTTCTTCGACAATAAGTTGTTTTTATCTGTCTATTTGCCTGTGTAACAATTTGGCTTGCTTAATCAGTATATTTTGAAGGGAATCAAATTTTTAGTTTTTAGGTGGAGTTTAGGTGAAATGTAGTAGACTTCACGACGAAGTCTACTTTGTTCTTGTTTTTGTTGGACACTAGGTGATAATGTATTAGACTTCACTGTGATATCTACTTACTCGTTTTGATTAATATGTTGTGTCTTTGTATTTTTTTACAGAAAATGATGTACGTAGCTGCTGTTTGTGAAAAATGAGAGAGAAAAAACAATGGATTATAGATTTTTAAGGTGGATTAGGACAAAGGAGGAAGAATGTTCTTATTGAGAGATGGTTATATCCATATGTAAGTTACTCTTATATTGTTGTTTATGTCTACTGATGAGTGAAGTTTGTTTGTGGTTTGCTAAAAAAGCCCTAATTTCTAAGTAAAATTTGTTAGGTTTGTTTATAGTTGAGCATAAAAAGTACTTAAGAAGTTTTCGTACTTAAACACATAATACTTGTTATATGGAGACATGCAGATTTCGATCCTGAAAACTTAAAAAAATGTTATTTTAGGAGCATAAACATAAACATTATTGAATCTCTGCAATTTGTGAGCTATACATATTAGCATAACTTTCTAATCTCTTATCAATGTATAAAACAGAGAAGAAGTTTGGTTCTGAGTACAATACAATTTTATAATAAATCAGGTACCGATACAATCTAAATGTAATAGTAATGGTATTTAAGATCATAAGAACAATCATTTTCTTCATCTAAAATCCTAATCTTCTTTCGCATTATCATCACGCAAATGAGCTTTCACTCTCTCTCCTTGCCGTCTTATCCATTTGATAGGAGTATCTTGTAGCTGAAAGAAGAAATTGTGATCAAATTAGTTATTCGAAGCTATCCGAATTAGTTCAGTCCCATCATCACTCAAAAATTTACTCTCTAAGCATAATGTTTCCTGTCAAGAAGCAAATCTAATTTTTAACAGTCAAAAACTGAGAGAGGGAGAGACAACGACCAAGCAATATTATTAACACAAGGCGTAAAACACATATGGTTCCTCACATTTCAAATTTAACCTAAACCACAAATCAATTAACCAAGAGTGTGATGTTAGGAAGATATTAGCAAAGCTTACTCATATTAACATCAGAGAATAGAGTTCACAAACTTAGACCATACTAACATTTTAAAGAAAACTAAAAATATTGCAAGCAAAGCATATGCGAAAGATCAATAATATCTCAAAAGCTAATCATTTTTTATGTGTTTAAATGCTTGCGGTGTGATTCAAAGATCAGGTTTTTTCAAAATGCATGATTAATCTAATTCAAAAAACATGTTCTCACACAAACAACTCATAATCTTTACAGCTACATATGTAAAAACATAACTTGGATTCAAACATGCATGCTTGCGGTTACAAGTTTAATTATGTATTAGCAGGAGACCTTAAATCTCATCAAACCACAGTAGGGAATAGCAAGAGCTCACCAGCTATAAAGGCGTCTGTGGAGGTTGATGGTATGATCTCTTGTCACCACTTCTTCTTTCCTTCCCTTTGTCTCAGACATCTTCTCTTTGTAAACCTGAAAAGACAGAAAAAGATCCAAACATGAAATAGGTTTGTAAACCACAATCAGACACTCAAGAAATCTTAACACAATGAAAAGACACACATAAACAATCCGATTTCGCAGAAATACATCTTAATAGTGAATATAGTGAAAACATATAACTTGCGGACAAACAGATTTATGAGCAATGCAGATAAAAATTGAATATATAAAAGCAAGTGAAATCTCAAAACAACAAAGGCAGAATCTCAAACATATACATGAAAGAGCACAATCTCTATGAACACAACAAATGTAATCGAAAAGATCGAAGGGATCTCTGTGAATTGGAAGAGCACATCAATTAGAGAACTAAAACCAATCAATTGTTGCAAAAATCAATTCGAAAAGAGTAAAGTTCATCCAAAGGAAGAGAATCATAAAGAAACCAAATCGAACAAGATAAATAACGAGAATCGTAAAAAAAAAAACGAAACCTAAACATCTAATATGAGGTTTTAAGAAAGGAAGGAAGATTTACTTCTCTGTTTTTCTCTTCAAGCTGAAACTTATGCTCAGAGATTTCCAGATCTCAGTTGTTGTTCAGGCAATTTTGATGGAGAAAGAGATGAAGAATGGAGAGGCAGCGGAGGCTAACAGCTCTGAAATGACGCCGTCGGAGGAAGAGGAGCTACACCTGCAAACCAAGAACAGAAATGATTAAGGCCGAAGGAAGGATGTGCGACTAAGGCTTGAGAAGACCTATCTATCTTCGTTAGAGGCGTGAGAGGTCAAGAGAGAGATAAAGAGTGAGAGGGAGAGAGAAGAATTTACATATATCGAAGGAGATGGTCGGAATCGGCGAATTGAACAGATCTAGTTAAGATCTAACATGGGGAGAAGAAGGAGGCCTTACCAGTGACGACGGGTCAGAGATCCGCGAACGCGACGACGGCGGCAAGAGAGCCAGCGCCACAAGGAGCTGTCGTCAGAGAGAGCTCAGATCTGGGTCGTAGCCACATGGACGGGTCAGATCCGGCGGTCATGAGACGGAAGCACCGGAGGCGGAGGCTCAAGAGAGAAAGAGAGTTAACGGTGGAGAGAGACATCAAGAGTCGCAGTTTGAGAAAGAGGGAGAGAGAAGAGTAGCAGCGCCGTTTGAGAAGTTTGAGAGGGAGGCGAGATTTTGTTTTTAGAAATTAGGGTTACATGGAAAAAAATTATTTATATAGGTTGGTATAATTTCCGGTTTAATCAATCATTTTTCGGTTAGGTTAAAAAAATTGGGTTAAACAGTTTCCAAACAAAATCCCGCCTAAATAATTTCGATTCCCGCTCAGTTTTCTTTGGATTTTAGACTTCTTCGAGAAATCTACAGTGGAAGTCTACGCAAGAAGTCAACTATACCCTAAACCCTAAATTGAATGTTTTACACAAAAAAACTTATGGAATAAAATAGTTTTCGTTGAATATACACAAATTACATTATAATCAACACATATATGAATCTTAAATGATTATACAACGAATAAACTTGGTTTTCAAAAAATATTTGGCTAAACCCTAACAACTTATACTACCAAGCCCTATACTTCAAACCTAAACTCTATCCTTGATGGACCAAATACTCATGAAACTTATAAACTTATACATTTTCATGAGTTTGTATTTTCTATATATGAACATTGTATTTACTTAGATTACTAACAAAAATTTGTTAGCAAAATATTTTTTTATAAATTTTAAAATTAAAATTTAAGATTTCGTAAGAAAGTAGACTTCATGAGTAGACTTCTCTCCAAATTTATAGGTTTGTGGCATGCTTTGCCTTTGGTGTATTTAGACTAATACATTTTCAAGCAAAAATATTTTTAAGAGATGCTAAATAACAAGGTCTTTTTTATGTATAATTTCTTTGGTTTAAATATTTTTCTTTAATTTTATAATTTAAATTTAAGATCTTAAGGCGTTGTAGACTTCGTTTTGAAGTCTACTTCCTTTGCTTCCCGATGATTTGCTGTTGAGCTGCTTTGCACGTATTTCTAGATTGTACTACCCGACTCTCTCCCTTGTCTCCAAGCATTTTCGATCTCTCCTTACTTCACCGGAGCTTTACAAGGCCCAGTCTCTCTTGGGCAATACCGAAAATTGTCTTTACGTGTGTTTAGGGTCCTATCCGCGTGCTCTCTGGTACACTCTTTGCCTGAAACCTAATCAAACCCTAACCAATGACACTTATGGGTATGTTTTGGCTAGAGTCCCAATTCCAAGTTCTCCTCGTGTGCGCTTCCAGGGTCTCGTGGCTGTTGGTTCTAATATCTACGGAATTAAAGAGAGCTCCTACTTTGCTAAAGAGGAAGATAGCTCCTCTAACGTCTCGATTCTAGATTGCCATACTCACACGTGGCGCGAGGCTCCAAGCTTACCGGTGAAGCTATCGTCACTTTCTGCTAGCGTTCTTGATGGAAATATATATGTGGCAGGAAGAAGCTACAAAGACGGCGAGTCTTCTTTGGATTCCTTGAGGAACACGTTTGAGGTTTTCGACACAGAAGCACAGAGTTGGGATGCTGAGACCATCCCTTGGAGCGAGACAAAATGCAGTTTCTATAGCTCGAGAAGTGCTTGTATTAACGGCAAGTTCCACGTGAAGACTAGCACAGAGGTGGTTGCTTACAATTCCAAGGAAGTTAGATGGGACTTGGTAAATCGAGAGATGAGTGAATATATGAAGTCAGATTTTTACTGCGTGATAGAGAATGTTTTGTACTCTGCTTCTTACGGAGGGTTGATATGGTATGACACTGAGGTAAGCATGTGGAAAGAATTGAAGGGTTTGGTAGGACTACCTGAGTTCTCTCTTGGCGCTTGTGTTAGATTGGCTGATTATGGTGGGAAGATGGCAGTTTTGTGGGAACGGGATCTGTTTGGCTATAAGAATATTTGGTGTGCGGAGATTACGCTTGAAAGATGCGGATATAAGATTTGTGGCAAAGTTGAGTGGTTTGGTAATGTGCTTACAGTCCCTAAATCATGTAGTCTCATGAAAGTTCTTGCTGTTGCTGTTTGATGAATGACTCTGATCTTCTTCTTTTTTTGCGACTTTGATCTTTCTTTTCACTTCTAATCATTTTATTGCCCTTTTTGATTAAAGCTAAGCTTATTTTGTGATCAAAGTATTTTTGAAGATCGTTTTGTGTTCAATAGACTTCTCTTTACTTCATTCGTGAAAAGAGAACAACACACCTAGTATTTGATGATACTGCTCTATTAATTTTAATGGTTAAAATTTGCAGCAGAATTAGGTTTTGTAGTAAAGATTGAAAAGCATTCTTTCATATTTGCTCCAAAGTAGGTTTTTGTGTGTTTTGGTTTCATGATACAGCTTGTATCCACTCTCAAAATCTCAATGAGGCCCTAAACTCGTTTATATTGGACCGTAAGTCTAGACTTGAGAGTGGCTCACTCACATATTTTATTTTACAACTCCAACTTTTAGGAAATCTCCAAAAGACGCAACTTTAAAACTATAAACCAACCAGATATATATATATATATATATATATATGGCTAAGCTACAATGTTTTATTTTGGTTATGGTGGTTATTATACTGTTGTGTCACAAAGAACAAACTGTTTTGTATGAAAACCTCATTTTTTGGTTTCAATATTAGACCTGCTTTTGTTGTTTGTGTAATGAAAGACGAAGACACCAATCACCATTGTGTTCTTCAATTTCAGACAACTTGTGGTTTACCATTAACGAACCTGATTTGAATCGCAAGACATATTTTGATTCATCGATATGAAAAATATATTCTTAATGCAAAAAAACTGTCATCATCTCCTGAGAAGAAGATGATGAAACTTGTTGTGTCTGAATCTGATAACTAAAATTTCTGAACAAAAGTAACTAAAAGCGCTTTGTTTTGATTTTTTTCTTTAGTTTTAGAGTAGTTTAATGGACTTTAGAATTCGATTGGCCCAAATTTATTAAATCCCAAGTAAAATTCAGTATTTATATGTTTCTTGCTTTAAGGTTCAAGCACATAATAATTGGCGGTTTTGTCTCGCTAATTAATAAATCAATGTCATCATCCCTGGAGAAGAAGAGGAATTCATCGCTTCCCAATGATTTGCTGTTGAGCTGCTTTGCACGTGTTTCTAGATTGTATTATCCGACTCTCTCCCTTGTCTCCAAGCGCTTTCGATCTCTCCTTGCTTCACCTGAGCTTTACAAGGCCCGGTCACTCTTGGGCCATACCGAACATTGTCTTTATGTGTGCTTTGCCTCCTATCCACGTTCTCTCTGGTACACTCTTTGCCTTAAACCTAATCAAACCCTAACCAATGACAATAGTGGGTATGTTTTGGCTACAGTCCCCATCCCTCGTTCTCCTCAATCCTGCTTTTCGGGTCTCGTGGCTGTTGGTTCTGATATCTACAACATTCAAGAGATCACCTCTAACGTGTCGATCCTAGATTGCCGGACTCACACATGGAGAAAGGCTCCAAGCTTGCCGGTGATGCTACTGTCACTTTCTGCTAGCGTACTTGACGGTAAGATATATGTGGCAGGAACAAGCTTCAAAGACGGCGAGTCTTATCCGGATTCCTTGAGGAACACGGTTGAAGTTTTCGACACAAAAACACAGAGTTGGGATGCTGAGACCATCCCTTGCAGCGAGACAATTTGCGACTTCTATGGCTCGAGAAGTGCTTGTATTGACGGCAAGTTCCACGTGAAGGCTGGCAAGGTGGTTGCTTACAGTTCCAAGGAAAGTAGATGGGACTTGTCTACTCCAAAGATGGGTGATTTTTTTATCACAGATTCTTATTGCGTAATAGAGAATGTTTTATACTCTGCTTCTTACGGAGTGTTGAGATGGTATGACTCTAAGGTACGCACGTGGAGACATGTCAAGGGAGGACTACCTGAGTTCCCTTGTGGCGCTCCAATTAGATTGGCTGATTATGGTGGAAAGATGGCGGTTTTGTGGGAAGTCAAGATAGAGAATGATCTTTATGATTTAGGGCAAGGTGGCTGCGGCTATAAGAAGATTTGGTGTGCGGAGATTGCGCTCGAAAGACTGAAAATAGTAGGTGAGATTTGGGGGAAAGTTGAGTGGTTTGATCATGTGCTTACAGTCCCACAATCATGTCATATGGTGAAGGTTCTTGCTGTTACTGTTTGATGAATGGCTTTGATCTCTCCTTTTTTTTTACTTCTAAATGTAAAGGAAAGAGTATCATAGCAATCAATTATTCAGTCCCTATGATTTTTCACAACAATTATATATTCTCTAGTAATATAATTAATTAAGACTAGGAGAGAACCCGCGCAATGCGCGGGTTTATTAAACCAAATATTTTTAATTTAATTATTCAGAACATTAGATTCGAATATATCATTTGTTTTTTACTCGAATATATTAGATTCTGTAAGTTTTGCATTTTGTTTTTTTTCATATAGTTTTAAAATTTAGTTGTTATTTACGTGAAATCTTATATAGACTCATAGTGAATAGTTTCATATGTTTTTTGTTCTTTTATACAATAATTTATCGACTGGAGTTGAGTTCTTCTAATTTTCCTTATACTAACAATCATTATAGATTGATTATTATCCTACAGACTCATAGATAATAATAATTGCAATCCTTTTTAAAAGGAAATGAAATGAGCTAATTAGCCAGTAAGCCCATTTAAAGCTACCATGGAAACGAAGAGGTCCGATAAATAATCAAGCCCATCAAAACGAACAGCATTACACATAATTTTGATTTAGATTTTTTTTTTTTTTAATACGAAAACGACGTCGTTTTGGTGTAAGACGAAAAAAAAAAGATAAAGCGCAAAACGACGTCGTTTTGGTGTTAGGCGGAAAAAAAAAAAAAAAAAAGAGAGTGCCACGTGTCAAAGGCTGGAGATTGTCCAAGCCTTATTAGTTATGTAAATTATGTTCATCTTGTATATATTCATGTGCTATATATATATTAAAGAGATTATGAGAGTGAATATGTAATTCTTTCAGTACAAACCTTTAATATTAACATGGTTTCAAAGGTTAAATTATGATAACTTGAACTATGGAAGCATTTTGGTTTTAAAAATAAAAAAAAAAAAAAAAAATAGAAACTCATTAGCTTAAGAGAAAAAAAATAAATTGATCGTTTGATCAAAACTCTTGAATATAACCAGCTATGTACTCTTTCATTTACAGTAATCATCTGATTTCACTTTTTGATTAATGTTAAGCTTGGCTTCTCTTTACTTAATTCTTGAAAAGAGAACAAACACAATTTGCAGAATATTTGATGATTAAATAGTGGTAAAATTAAATTTGCAGCAGAATGTGGTTTTGTAGTAAAGATTGAAAAGCATTCCTTCATAATGTTTCGGTTGTATGATACAACCTTGTATTCCACTCTCAAAATCGCAACGAGGCCCCAAACTCAATTTTATTGGACCTTAATAAAGAGTTTAGAGTGGCTCACTTACATATTTGGTCTTTGCAACTCCAACTTTTACGAAATCTCCAATTTGGCCCATTCTTCCACTAATATGCAACTTTAAGTCAGTTTCATGATCGATTCCCAATTCTCGATCGATAAACCCTAAACAACTCGTCTTTGGCTTCTCTATCTGAAATCCATCAATCTGGGCATCAAATCGTTGCAAAATCTCAATCTCTCTTCAATCGCAGTAATGTCGTCTGTTGGAACATCGAAAGGGATTCTGGAAATCGCCAAGTTCGGTTTCTACGTCGCTGTTCCAATCGGGCTGATGTATACATTCGCCAACAACAGCACCAATATCAAGAAATTCATGGGCAATGTAATCTCTCCTACAAATCTCTCTTTTTCCCCATTTTCAGAAATTAGCATCGAATTCAATCGAATCTCGTTTGGATTATCGTGTTCTGTGTTAGGCAGAGAGATTGATTGATGTGTTCATTTTTGGTTAATAATTAAAAAGGATAACTTTAAATCTGGGGTTTTAACGCATTGTTGAATACAGAGTATATAGTTACAAAAATCTCAGAAACATAGAAGAAGACATAGTTGGAATTTTCTTGAACAAGTTAATGATTTGTTGTTGGTTACTGGTTAGTCTGGCTTTTGTTTGATATTAGGAAATGGTGATATATTGAATGGGCTAATTAATATTGTGAATTTGCACTCACTAACCATTTCTGGATTTGGACTGTTTTGTTCTGTGCAGCGTTCGTATGTTGTGTATCCAGAAGAGGCACCTCGACCACAGTCACCGGAGGAGCTAAGAGAGATGGCACGAGAGCTTGCCCGTAAGAAGAACATTCCGCGAGTTGATTGATGATAATAATACGTAATGTTGCTCGGCGCAGAGCAGCTGGTGATAATAAGGTAATGTTATGTTTGTTGAATTCCTGTAAGATCAAACTGAGATGTATACAAGTGTTGCCGATGTAACAAAGAAAGATGAGGCGTTTGTTTTTGTGGAAAAACCTTGGTTTCATTATATTTTTGTTTCATGAAGTCTTATCATTGCATTTGCTAATGAATTACAGTATCAGTGATTCATAAGCACAGATTATTGGTTTTGACTTTTGAGTTACATTAGGAAATGCAATAATGAAGAAGAGAACGCATTTGTTTTGTTAATGAACATTGGTTGCATAATTTGTGCTTATAAACATTTTACATCACAGCTTCAGTTCAAGTGTTTGCTTTTTGGTTATGGGATCACATTTTGGAGTTGTGTATATAACGTGAGATACATCCCTCATTATTAAATGTTAATGGACCGTGTTATGGGCCTCTGAATTTCAGGAAATGAAGAATTCTGAAAATATTAGTTTTTAAAATATCATACAAACTAGGTTGTTGTTTGTGCGGGTACAATTTTTTTTAAATAAATTAATTAATTAAAGATTTTAACAATATAAGTAGTAGAATTTTTTGATTATATACATTTTTTGTTTTCGCCAACTTCTTATTTCTGTAATTTTGATGTGTTTTATTTTTGTCTTCTCTTTCTCGTTCTTCTATATAATATTCTTCATTCGTTTAGAGAGATACAAAAGATTTCTCACTTCTTATTTTGTTCTCTTTTATTCTTCTCCAATTATCTCACCTTCTTATGTTTCTTTCAATTTTCGTTCTCATCACCTTTTAAACTTTCTTCTTCCAATTTTTGTTCTTCAATCTTTTCTTATATCTTCATATCTTCCACCTCACTATTCTTCTTTTTTCTTTCTAATTTTCTTTACATTTTTTCCGGTTTTTCTTCTTCCTCATTCCCCCTCTCTCTATCTTTATCAGCTTCTTATTTTCTAACATCATATTATTCTAGTTTTTAGTTATCTTTTTTTTTCTTCATATTTCATTTTTTCTTCTTTGATTTCTTTTTCCTCATATTCGAGTTTTCTTCTTCTTCTCCATTCGTTTAAAGAGATACAAAAGATTTCTCACTTCTTATTTTGTTCTCTTTTATTCTTCTCCATTCGTTTAAAGAGATACAAAAGATTTCTCACTTCTTATTTTGTTCTCTTTTATTCTGCTCCAATGATCTCATCTTCTTCTTTTTTCTTTCAATTTTATATATGTTCTCATCATCTTTTTATTTTTCTTCTTCCAATTTTTGTTATTCAATCTTTTCTTATATCTTCATATCTTCCAGCTCACTATTCTTCTTTTCTTTCTAATTTTCTTTACATTTTTTTTTCGGTTTTCTTCTTCCTCATTCCCCCTTTTCTATCTTTATCATATTCGTCTTCTCTAACATCATATTTTTTCTATTTTTTATTTATCTCTTCTTTGTCTTTTATTTCTTCACATTTCATTTTTTCTTTTTTGATTTCTTTTTCCTCAAGTTCGAGTTTTTTTATTCTTCTCCAAATTTCTCATCTTCTTTTTTACTGTCTTCTTTTCTTTTGTGTTTTTATTCGTTCTTGCCTACGTCTTGTAATTCATCTATCAATTCATATGATAGTTTATATTTTCAAGGATTTATGAAATAGTTTTTATCTTTATATAGTCGAGATCTTTTAAAAATCTATTGGTTTTGTTATCTTTCCATTCTGGATTTGCTTTAATTTTTCTATTTGTGAATGTAATTTAGAAAGTTGAATATAAATTTATAAACAATGATTTTTAATTATGATATTCTTCCATTCAAATGTTTAAAAATGCACCAAAAACTAAACCCTACACCTGTCAATATAAATCCTACACCTAAACCCAAGACCCACAGTGTAACACCTCCCCCCCCTAAATAACCCTACACCCAAACCCCACAGTATAACAACCCCCTCCCCACCCTCCCCCCAAAAGCAACCATGCACCCTAAACTTAAATCCCACATTATAATTTCCCCTCCTTAACCGCATATCTGAACCCCACATTTTACAAATTGGTTTTAGATTTGTTTTTATTTTTATTTCTAATTTTTTTTTAAAGTTTTTTTTTTGTTTTTTTTAATCGGTAATGTATTGTATTCAGAATTTTTCAAGTGCATCAAAAACTAAACCTTACGCCAACCAATATAAACCGTACATCATAAACCCCAACCCCATACTATCTTCTTCTTTTACTTCTTTCATAATTTTTTCCTTCATTTTCTACTATTTTTTTTATTCTTATAAAACTTTCTATTCTCTTTTTATTTTCCTCTCCTTTCATCATTATCTATTTATTTCCTGATTTTTCTTCCTTTTATTTACAATTTGTTTTTCATTTGGCTTTGTGTTCTTATTCTTCATTTTTTATCTTTTAATTTTTCCAGCTTCTTTGTTGTTCACATATTCTTCAATTATTTTATTCTTCTGTTTTTTTCGTCTTCGTCTTCCAACTTTCGTCTTTTCCTTATTATTATTCAGGATTTTCTTCTTATTTCATATCCGATTAATGGTCTAGTTTGGGATTTATTTTATTTTTGCTTAATTTGGTGTAATTGTTGTTGTTGTTGTACAAAATTTTCAAAATATATTTTAAAAATTCGCAATGTTATTTATTAATCGATATGATTTTGAAAAAAAAAAGAAGTAGTTGTTTAGCTATTCCTTTATCATTAATTTTTATCAAGAACTAAAGATTTAAAAAACGCACAAAAAAAACTAAACCCTACACCCACCAATATAAACCCTACCTTCTAAACCCTAACCCTACAATAAACACCCCTCTTCCATACAATACACCATAACCACATGATAGATAAATAAATCTTTTTAATTTTAAATAAATCTTTTTTTTTGCTTAATTTGTTGTAATTGTTGTTGTACAAAAGTTCACATGATATTTTAATTTTTATTAAATTGATATGATTTGAACAAAGATTAAACAATTTAGTTATTTAACTATTTTCTTTATCCTTTAAATTTTTCAAGAACTAAGGATTTTATAAACGCACAAAAAACTAAACCCTACATTCTAAATCATAACCCTAAAATAACCCCCCCCTATTCATACAGTACACCATAACCAGATAGTAGACAACTCTTTTTAATTTTAAATAGATCTTCTTTTTTTCTTAATTTGTTGTAATTGTTGTTGTTGTATAAAAATCCATATGACATTTTAAGAATACACAATGTTTTTATTTAATCGATATGATTTGAACAAAAGATTAAACAATTTAGTTGTTTAACTATTTCCTTTATCCTTTAAATTTTAAAAGGGCACAAAAAAAAACTAAACCTTACACCCACCAATATAAACCCTATCTTCTAAACCCTAACCCTACAATAACCCCTCCCCATTTCCATCCGTACAGCATAAACACATAATAGACAATGCTTGTCAATTTTAATGATTTTTTTTGGCTTAAATTGGTGTTTTCTCCACCTTGTTTAATGAATTTTTAAAATATTATTTTGGTTTAATCTTCATCGTAAATAATGTAGCTTAATTTGGTGTTTTCTCCGCCTTGTTTAATGAATTTTATAAATATATTTTAAACCATCGTAAAGATACTCAATGGTTTTTGTTTGGTCTTATTTTGTGGCAATAATAAACACAAATCCAATCGTTTCTTTATTAAAACACTATCATTTCAAAACCAAAAACTAAAATCAGAGAAAAATAATTTATTTGGCAACAAACTATAACATCACCAGCATCTATATATATATATATCCTTCTTCCTCCGTCTCTTGAACGTTTGTAGTAAACTATAGGTGTCATTAAGTCGCTCAAGTAAAGCATTACCCTTGATTTAGGCAAGAAAGCTTACCGCTATAGTAAAGAAGATGAAAAAAGACTGCAGCAATTGTAACATAGGTTTTATCGTACTTTATAAGTTAATAACATTCATACAACCTAAAACAGAGCTACTTAACCCCTATAACACAAACAAAATTTCAAAATTTACACCAAAACAAAACGAAAACAACTAAGAAAATATTAAATAATTATTATGCAAGAATTACCTCTTTTTTTTGTTTTACTTAGACTTTAGTCTCAATATCAGTCTCAATATCTCTCCTCTTTTCCACGATCAGAACCCAAATTTGCAACCCCACTGACGCGATTAAAAAAAAAAAAAAAAAAAAAAAAAAATCACAAATTCTTCTCGTAAACAACATGAACAAAATTCACTTCACATTAACATGATCTTTGCAGGATATTGGAGGTAGAGCCGTAGAGGACCAGAAAATTTGAGCTGAGGAGGGCTCCTTTGGCATTGCTCAATCTCGACCATTGACCGTTTAGCTTGTAAAGAGTATGGCTTAGCTCTCTTGGCTGTAAACTATTCTGCAAAATATAAAAGAAACCAAAAAAAGTAGAGTGAATAAACAACTGGTTTTTGTTTCGTAACTCAGAATGCAACTCCCGTAATTTAGTACATAAATCTTTTAATCACTATTACATTAAGCAATCAACTGATACATACTAAATCGAACTATGAAACTCTATAATGGATCCAAATCTAAAATCGCAAATCTTATTAGATACCTTTATTAAAATTAGGGTTTCATAAGCTTTAAGTTTTATTCAAACAGAAAAGATGCATATACCCTTTATTTCTTGGGTAAACCTGTTTATCCTTGGTACCATATCTGATCTTTGTGATTCCATTAGCTACCAAAGCATGTATTGACTATTTCAAAAGTGAGAGAAATAGAATTTAGATGCGGATGTTTTGATAAAACTTGCAGTAAAATAATGAATAAGCAGGAAATCAATAGTTCTAAACTTCTAATAGAACTAAGGTCTAGTATAAACAATTAACATACATGAGAAGAAGAAATAAGATCTCAAAGATTAAAAATGACGTCTAAAAAGTAGAAAAATATACTGTGATGATGTTGCTTATTGCTATCTATCTATTTATATATATGAGAAAGACGGTTAAGA